GGGTGGTGGTGGTGGCAGGCGACGCTGCCGACGTGTTTGGCGCGGGTACTTCTGCCCCTTGGCTGTTCGCCCTTTGCTAGCTTGTAATACTGTTTGTTGAGATAGTTAAATAGGTTGGAAATTTGGGGAATGTTTTGACGCTGGCCAAAACCCTACATTTATTTGCGTGTACAAAGATATTCAGTATGACAGCGCTGTCTTCTAGAGAATAAGGTGATGGAAGTAAACATCCTTTCGTTATCCTTGTGTGTAAATATGTTTCAACAGTATCTGCTTACCTTAGGGCTTGTCAGACAGGTATGGTTTCCCACCCCCTGAATAGTGTAAACCCTAGGGTAGCTACTCTGCTCTGCTGTAATTTTCATAATTTATAATTTAAAGGTTACTCGCATCAGTACAAGACACTTAATACTCTGTTGCTGAGCTTCTGCACTGCTGATACTGAAGCACAGCAAACCCCCCAAACCCCAGCATCTTACAGAAGAAGTTACACTGTGTTTGTTAATATGTTTATAAAACAAGTTTAAATTCATACTGATGTGAAAGCTGTAAGAGAATGCTAAATAACAGTCAACTCCGTCTTCTTAAACTGTTTAACTCCAGAATACCTGTATGAGTACGTGGATGCATAGCGCTTTACATATTATTAGGTTTTGGTGATATCAAACACAGTGTTACTGATTCCGTGTGATGTATTGTGGGAAGGACTTTTTTTTTCACTCTTCCTCCCTCCCCTCACTTTTGCTTATCTGTGAAGGAATGGTTCTTTTATCTTGTGGGTACCAAGTGTGTTTCAGAGAGCACAACCTATAATGTAATACTCAACTAAGTATAACTTCATTACCACAAGAATTTCTTAGGATTCTTAAAATTTTTGTGGACCATGATTATTTTTTCTTGGGGTCAGCTGAAAATACGCTTGTGTTTTCCAGAATAATAATAATAATATTAGAGCTTTCAGAAGACTACTGCTTTTTTTCTTCTTTTTTTTTTTCTCCTCTTCTCCTGGAAGTGAGCTCTGCTGTTGTTTACTTCTACCGAAGTTCACGTTTCTTTGAAACATACATCAGTTTGTGTCTTTCAACTTACTATCTTTGATAGATATCCGTTTTGTCAGTTCTTACTGATTTTCTGTGTAGTAAGCTGCTACTGACATACATGGATTGAAGATTTTATTTCTAAAAGTGGTAATAACCATGTTGCAAATATAACAACTTAAATGTTTCTGCTGAACTGAAAATATTTATGCACCACTTACTAAGCTTTACTACTTTAAAAAGTTTCCTGTTCATAAAACCTAGGATAATACCACTTCCTTGATATTACTTAGTTGCTACTTGGTTTCTTTATAAAATCAAAGCAGATGTGGTTTGGGTAATACATTGATTATATTTTAAATGGAAACTGTTGTGTTGCAGGTAGAGGAAAACAACCCTCTGCAGTTCCTGAATTCACAGCACTTAAGGAGCTTGGTTAGTTAGGGTGGCATTTTGCATGCATACAGTATAAAAGTTGTATCTGATTATTTTTTTTTTCTTAAACTGAGAAGCTATATATCCTACAGTTTGAGAGAACTAATCTACCTGAGAAAAATTAAGAGCCAGTAGTGGTTAAGGTAGTAAGCTGGTTGCTAAATAGTTGTTTAGCATGACATTTGATTCTTTCCCTTACAGAGGTGTGCCTCTTGTGCTAAAAGTTAGTCACTAACTTTCTTTTTTCCCTTCTGACCTTGAAAATTTGGAAAGACAAGTTAAGAGTCACTTGTCCATCTATCTAAAATGGAAATAGAAGTATTCTTTCAATTTTTTGTTTTAGTCTTAACAATGTTGGGTTTCTGAGCAGGAACTAGACTTGCTTTGTGTATGCGGTGTCACACATCAGGTCCTTTCTAGATTAGGTGTATAGGACAGAGACAAATAGAAACAAAGAAGAGGCCTTCACAGTTGTGTCTTTCAGGACCTCTTTTTTTTTAAATTACATTACTTTTTTTCCTAGCTTTATTTCAGTAATTTAATGTTTTTATTTCAATAAGTCTCTTCCAGTATTTTTTATATGAAATTACTAACACAGCTTCTGTATTTTCAAGCCATGTCTTATTTGAAAAAACTCACTATTTGTCCTGCTGCACAGTGCAATAAGCTGCACAAGCTCTGCATAATGCTCCGTGTTTAGATGTGTTTTCTTTTTGTCATCCTGATCAAAGCTTTTGGGTTTTGTGGCTTTTTAAATATAACACCAAAAATGGCTCATGAAAGCTTGAGGTGAACATAGGTTGCAAACTGACAGTAGTAATTTCAAATACTCTGGTAATACGTTCAGTGTATTCCTGCCCAAAGTTCTCTCAGATACAGCTGAAATAGTCTTTGCATAAAAGTGAACAAACAAAAATTTACAGGAAAGTTGTTTTCTTCATATGGCACTGTTATGAGGCATAATGTTGTTAGATTAATTGGTGTTAGGTTATAGGCTATTCATGCAACATTACTGTTCCATTCCATAACATTAAAAATAAGGATTTGTGAGCTTGATTTTTGGAGGGTGGGGAGGCGGGGTGGGTGTTCTTCATGTTGCTGTATCATGGTGGTGCAACAGTATACAAAGTCTAAACTGAAAAATTCAAAGGAAGTGTATTTTTTTTTTAAAATGATTGTGCAATGTTGTCTGACATGTTTAATTCTTCTACAGATTAACACTAAAGCCCCACAATGTCCTTGAAACCACGAGTAGTTGACTTTGATGAAACATGGAACAAACTTCTAACAACAATTAAAGCTGTTGTTATGTTGGATTATGTTGAAAGAGCAACGTGGAATGATCGCTTCTCGTATCCTTTAAGTGAAAATCTGACTTAATGGGTTTGTGTGATGTGTTTAGCATGGAGTGGGCCTGCATTATGTAACAATTTCAGTGGTCTTGATTAGAAGCCTGTTGTAAGGTCATATCTGTTATTAAGCCTGTGGGTCAGTGGATATGTTGAAAGGGATGGGAAATTCTCCATATTTGGGAAGTATTCTATGTGAAAATTAACATGGTAATAACAAGTAAACCGGTCTGAGTTTTACTCACTTTTAGTAGCTCTAATACTTAGCTTATGCTATAGCTTTTCACAAAAGTACATGCACTGAATTTCCCCTATTCTGATAATGAGCTTTTCTTGTATGCTTAAGTGTGCGTGTAACAGGGGAAACACCTAAGGCAGAGAACGCACGTCTTTAAATTTGGGGGTGCGGGGTGTGGTGAGGTTCTGTTTAAAGATGTCTCTCTGTCTCCCTCTTCTTTGCACTTCTAAGTGTACTGATGACTACCATATTAGACTTTTCTATAGCAAGGGTTTATAAAAAAGCCTTCTTCCTTTCCCTCCACTATTATTGCCTCTGTATTCCTGACAGTTAAGCTATGTTTAAAAATAATTACTCTTTCTAGCTGTGATCGTATGGTCTTGCTGTTCAAGTCACAGCTGTACATATATTGTTGCAGTGAAAGGTTTGCATTTTACATGCAAAATGGACTTGTAATTTTTTACAAGATTTAAAAGAAGTTCATGAAACTTAAAAGAGGTGTAACTATTCTAACCAGTTATATCGTGCCCTGTGCCTATGCATTCATTAGCCATTACAGTGTGGTGAATAATTAGAGATTTTTAGGAGGCTTTGCAGCTGTTCCACAGTAATTTGACTGAGTTTGGTTTAATTATAGGGAGGAAGAACAGTTTAGACTTACTTGATTTGTTAATTCTTCTGGGTGAAAAGAGAAGCTCCTGAGAAGATTCTTATACGTAGATTTTTACAACAGAAGCTTGTTCTGTGTGCAGGAGCTAGACTCTAAAGTCTCTTATCTTTCTGAACGTGTTACCATTTCTCAGAACTGCTTTCCCATGTGCTTGTGTTTTGAGTGTGTTCATGTGTATAAATACATAAAAGAAAAATTTAGTTGCTTGTAGTCCTTGTGGAGCCTTGTTCTATGGTGCAATAATCTTGAAGGAGCTCTTTCATTTTAAAAATTGGTAATTAATTTCTGGGGGTGTGACTCTTCACCTTTTCTTGCAGTCAAGTTCAAATTACTCCAAAATTTACAGACTTTTTGAAGTAATTAGTTGTGCACCTTCGTGCTGACAAGTTTGTGCTGTAGTAATTCTTTCGAAGCAGTTTTTGAGAATTGCATGTTTCAGCCTTCAACAAGTGGTTAACTTCTGTAGCTTAAAGCTCTAAACATTAAATAAGGGCACCTAAAATAGATTTAAATCTAAAGTAATTGAATGAGATGTTGGATTGATTCCTCTTGTCACACTGTTTTACTTGGAACTTCTTATGTGGAGACCTTCTATACAAGTCTGCTGTTGATCCTCTTTTGGGGTTTACTGTAGTTGATTGAACATAAGAAAGGGAATGCTTATGAATAGCAGACTTGCAAAGCAGTCTTGGAAGAATCATTTAGCATGTAATTCTTAAGACCTTACTATCATCTCTTAATTATGTTCCTTGGAAAGTGGCACTATTGGTGACTGATTTGGCACAGGCATGAGCCTTTTGGCTTATTCTATACGGCTGAATGGCCTGAGGATCTTTTATGACTTGTAACTTCCAGCTTAAATGTTTAGTATTTCTGCAACCTTTAACCACTCCATTTTAACACAGACTGCTCACTGAGTATTCAACAACTTGGTGAAACTGGTTGTTCTATACAGCTGGTGTGAAAGCTTTTTCCAGGTTTTAAATATATAAACAAAACTAAAGTATTAATGATGTATTTTAGGAAAATGTGGCATTTAAAAAAATACATCATCTTATTCTTAGCTCTTTATTCTCTGTTAAATTCAGTTTAATTGGACTCATCCATTTCTAAACATCTACAGGGACTTTAAAGGAAATGTCATATTAACTCTATTTTTCTTGCTGTTTAATAAGCACAATGAAAAGGTGACAAATTATTTGAACTGTGTGTTAATGAAATTTATGCAGGTTATTTCATTGATTATAGTACCACTTGGTATTTGTGGTCTCTCTATAGCTGAAACAATGATGTGGAAACAAAGGATAAGATACAGCAAAGAATCATGATTTCAGTGTGCAGCACTAAGAAGTGTTTGCTTTCTCTTGTGCTGCTTGAGACAGGTGAGATCAAATGGTGTATGCAGACTAATAGTATTTTAGGGTGAGAGGCTTGTACTGTGCATATTCCACTTCTAGAACTAATTTTTGCCTCACTACGTCCCCAGAACTTGTTTGTCTTGAATACAGTATTCTCTTTGTAAGTCTGGTAATTTTAAACATACCTTATCTTTAAATAAAGCTTACATCTCAAACTTGAAATACTAGAATGGCAATGAGCTGGGAACCAGAACTGTGTAAGAGTTAAAATCTTCTGGAAAAGATCACTTGAAAGACCATATGTCACTTTATTTAAACTGTGAGTCATCTTGAGCCACCTTTGACCTTCAGATTTCCTTTAAGGTCCTCTGCAGAAAGAAATGTTTCTGGAGTTGTTTCATTATTTGGTAAATGAGTGACAGTTATGTTTCTTTATTTGAGATATTATTTACAATAATTTCGTTATTATGAATGCTCTGTATAACTTTCAAGACTTTGCTTCGAACTGTTCAGTAGGCTAGGGAGCGCTCTTTAAGAGGCTGATCAATAGAGAGTGGTAGTTCATCTGTACTTTGATTACTACCTTTCAGCAGTAGGACGTTTTTGAACGGGTAGAACATCAGGATATCCCTGTTGTTGTCTTGGGTTTTCCACCAATGAAATAAATAGGATGAACAGTACCCAGGGAGGAAGGTAGCCAAAATGCAAACAGAATTATTTTAAAAGTATGCAACATGGCCACCTGCTTTTTTTCCAATTTTTGTGCATGTTTGCTCTCCCTCCTCTAATCTCCCATTTTACAAGGATCCTATGATGAACCAGAAACATATAAACATGTATCTTTGACATAAGAACCAGCCCAAAGAGAAGGAAGAGTAAATAAAGTTCATGTTATCATGATTCTTGACTGTGAGTCCTCAAGTGCTCTATGAATTTTGATTTTGTTACAGAGGAAGACTGACAATCACAGAAATTTTCCAAAAGCTCTACTTTGGTCTTCTAGAGAAGATCTATTCAAAACCTTCTGTTAATATATGGTCTTAACTAGAGGGTTTTTTAGCCCTGAGGACAATATTTGTGAGATTTTATGGCCTTGGATATAGTATTTTCTTGTTGATGGCAATTATTTTTTTTTCCTGTAGTTTGGAATTGCTTCAGTTTCCTATTACTGGGTAATGGCCCTCAAATAGCAACTACTGGAGCACTTAAATCACACAAGGCTTTTGATGTTCTTGCTCTCAACACAGAGTGAAGACCCCTAAGCAGCAGTTTGGCTTCAGCTTCCTTTGACCTTTATCACCTTGCAAAGCTATGTGCTCAACTGGAAGGACAGATGGCTTTCACTGTTAAAGATAAATTATTGAAGCCTTAGTAAAGGCTTCTTCCTGATCTTTTAAGAGACAGTAACATAAAAAAAAAGTGCTTTAAGTTTATGGAGTAAAATACCAGTGATGATTAATGATTCATCTCCCCTCAAAGGTTTGGGTTTTGGGGTTTTTTTTGGTTATGTTTTTGCTTTCTGTAGCAAAGCTACTCTAATATGTTTTTGAGACACATGGTAGTTGTTTGTTACAGAAATCCAGAGAAACTTAGTATCCAGCAAGTAGAATTTGGTGTTTATTTTTATCATTTGATTGATACAGGAAAATGTGTGAGGTGCCTGTAGAAGGGCTTCTGTCATTAAGCTATTAGTTTATTTTCAAGGAGGTATGCAGACTGAGTGTCATATGTCAAGGAAGAATACTAGATTCAGCTTTCTTCATTTCCGAGAAAATTTGACTGTTCTCTAGAATAAGGAAAGGCATGTTTGGAAGATGTGCGTTTTCATGAAGGAGTACAGATACTATTCGTGTTCTTAAATAGGTTTATTACAACCAAGAAACTTGTTTACAACTATCAAGTCATCTGGACTCCTAACGGAAGCCAAGGGCACAGAGGCTAGATAAATTCAGAGATACTTGTTTGCTGCTTTTGCCAGATAAGCTGCCATTATTATTGTGCTGTTGTGGTGAAGACTGCCTGTTTCCTCTAACTTTGAAATAAGCTGTTCTTGTAGCAGAGATCCATAATAGTTTTGGTGATTCAGATAGTGTAGTTGTGGATCTAAAGAGGAAAAAAAAGTCATGTCCCCTTTGCTTGCGAGTAGCTTACAAAGATTTCTAATTCTGGAATTTACTTTCTCAGAAATATCATATGCATAGTGAAGAGGCTTGCTGTCTGAATTATATTGAGGATGTGTTTGCGTACTATCCTTAAACTGACAAAATTTGGTTGGGGGGGTGGAATGTGTAAAAAAAAAAAAAAAAAACCCCCAACTGTTCTTTATAATCTGTTTAAGAGAACCTTTCATTCACTACTAATTTAATTGTTTTGATATTTTATTGGCCATAACTTTGTAAGTTGGTGCAATGTAATGCTAGCTACTGTGACAAAGCAGTGCATATTGCCTGTTTTGTTTGTTGAGGTTTCCATTTAATGCTTCTTGCCATTCCTAGGAGAATTCTGATAAAGATAATCTATATGGATGAAATAACTGTACTTGAGATTAGACTCTGATTAGGCTCTCTGAGATTCCAGTTGCCAAATAAAGGCTTTTTTCCATTTAGTTGTCCTACATCAGTATCTTCTCTGTTTTGAGTAGTACTTCCATATAAAAAATGAAACATGCTTTTGGGAAAAACCATGTGATGAAAGCTTGACATTATTCTGTAGACTAAGCAGGTGATATGTCAACTGGCCTTATGTCTTCTACCTCTTTTTACACAGGCTTGTGCTTTTTTAAGGTAGGCTAGAGGAAAACAGATCTTGTGTTTTCCCTTAATTAAAGAGCTTACCTTAAAAAGTAATCTATACTAAATCATTATTTCTAGCATGGCTGGTTTTATAAAGTGCCTAGACTTACTGGATAAGCATGATGTTTTTAAATAATTTTTGCAGAACTAGTTTATTTCCCACAGTTGTTGACCTGAAGCTTGACTTTTCTGAAAGCAAAGTTCTTAATCATAAGTTTTTTTCCTGACAAAGTGACTTTTTTAAAACTTGATGTAAACCTTACAAATGAAAGGTGTAGCTCTGCAAGATGCTTCAGGGACAGAACCACCCTAAGGGGTTTAACTGTTTGCTGCTGCCCGCTTAAGTGAGCAAGTATAACTGTTTTCTGTGGCTGTGATATAAACAGGATTACTGATATGATAATAATGGTTAAAAATAAAACAAAGTTTTTGCATCCAGACCACCATTGTGATGACTTAATTTCCAGTGTCCCGCAAAATGGTTTTACCTGTGGAGCTGGGGGGTGTATGCAGGGACAGTAAATTGTTTTGGACTTGCGGGAGGAAAACTTGGAAGTCAGCTTAACTTCATGTTTGCTCTGTTCCATATACTTGGCTAATCATGTTCCTAACCTAATTAGTGCTTCTTTCCATTATCTAAAAAGAGTCTCAGTTTCACATTGGCTGCAGATACAGAGGAAGAATTTTGGATGAAAGCTGCTTTTTCACTTTGAGATAATCGTATATTATTCATAGATGGCAAATAAGTGGTAGAAGCCATGTCAATGTGGGGCTACCAGAAGTACCAGAATCTCAGCTGTAACAGTCCCTCAACTTCTACTACTTAAAATTTATTATTGATGCTGAAAACTTAGATTCTTCATAAATCAGGACTTAGACTAATTTCAGAAAATTATCCATTTTATCTTTTGTGCTCAATGTAAAAAAAACCCCCAAAACAAAAAACTAAAATGCATGTGTGGGAGCAAAAAAAGTTCTGTAAATCTTAAATTTTGTTGGTAAGTTTTCACACTTTAAGTGGATACGAACCTTGACTCTGAGCCTAGAGACATTTATGCTTTGTGTGTGGCCTATCCTGAACCTCTTGGAGAGAGACTTTATACGGAGACTAAAATTTTTTTGGAAAATCACGTACGCCATTTGCACAAGGTAACCTATACAGTTACTGATGTATGTGTAGGTATAGTTTGTCCTTTCTTGACTTTAGGGACATTTGGGGGTTTTTGTTTTGTATGTATGAAAGTATGCAGATTTTATGAGGCTAAATCACAGATGACAGAGTTCCAGAGACAGGAGAAAAAAAAAAAATATCTCTTGGATATATGCAACACATAACACACAGCGTAATGTAGACAGATATATAGATATCTGTCTATATGCAACACAAAAGAACTTTCTTTTTAAGCCAACAGTTATGGTTTATATAAAATATTCCTTGGCTTGAAAAGTAAGTCCGTTCTTTTCTGTTGAATGCTTTTAGTCAAACAAGCTACAGAAATGTCTTCTTTGTCCAAATGTGCTATAGTTTGTCATTAGCCTTGTGTTACAATGTAAAAGTATCTACTCTAGTGTCTTGGAAACTGATTGTACATACTCTACTAAAGGCAACTTCTGAAATACATGGGAAATAAAATAACAAAAATGCCTGAGAAGGGAGGAAGTAATGACAAATTATTTATTATGACAAATAACAATACTTGTATACCTATATAGGTGTGAATTAACTTTTGTCTCGTCAGCTAAAACAGCTCATTTCAACAGAGTCATGATCCATCATGTTGAATATAGAGGATGGATGAACAGTGTCTCCTTGTATTTCAGTAAAAAGAAGTAGATTTAAATAAGATGTCCACCTGCCTTTGGTGTCTGTGTAGGGAATAAAGAATTGCAAATTCTGGATAGTACTGCTAAATGGCTTGATGCAATTTTTTTGAGCTTAGGTACCTGTGTATTTGACAAGCTAGGCTGGGTATCTTAATGGGTAGTTCCACTGGTTGCAGAGAGGATACCTCCAACACTTTGGTAGGCTAAATCAGTTCACTAAACTGGCAGACAACTCAGCCAGAAAATTTCTCATTTATTTAGTGAGCTGAATGAAATCACTTAGGATAATCAGGGAGGTGCCAGCACAGTAGAAGCTGTGGTAAGTAGCGGAAGGCATATGTCCATTTTTTTTAAATTGACTATCCACCATTTGTCTTTGAAATAATGCTGGAAAACCTTCACAGAATTCATGCTGCAGAGGAAAGCACTCTAGATTCTGTTTTGTCTACTAGCTTTCCTCTTTTACAGTATTTTTGCATAGGCTGCTTTGCTGCTTGGACCGGAGTTTAAAATTACATACTCTAGACAGAATTATAGTTGAATTCCTAGGATCTCATCCTCCTTCAAAATCATACTAATTAGTTTAAATTGTTGAACTTATTCCTTTGAAGTATGAATATATTTTGAAGTTCAGTACATCAACTTTTTAGATGATTTGCACAAATTCCAAAAGATTTGGACCTAGATTTGCAGAACTTAAGACATGTTTTAAGTTTGCACATATCTGCACTTTGTTAAACTTGTTTTATTCCAGGATTCTTGGTAAGTATAAGGGCTTGTCTAACCAGTAAGGCATACTGATTTTAAGTGGTTATAGTTGGGCAGCTCCTCCAGTGTGCATGTGGCTGTGTGAATTTAAAATTTATCTGTGTCAATGAGGGCATAGGTATGCGAGTTATCCCACCAGTATGATGTGAGAATATGAACCATGCTTATTCAAGCAAGTACTGCTGTAAAGATTAGTAGAAAATAGTACATTATAGAGATTGTTCTTTTTAAATGCAAAATAAAGCAACTTCAGGTGTTGTAGCTGGCTTACCAAAACTTTATATTATGAAGATTTGTTAGTTTTCTGGTTGTTGCAAAAATGTTATTTTTAGACCAGTTAAAGCTTAGGTGTGGTCTTAATTTTGAACATGTGATTGTTTTTCCAAAATGACAATCCTGTTATAACTTTGTATGCTATTGTAGTACTAATTTTAGCGGGGTGTGTGTGTCTTCTTTCACAGAGAGTTCTGGAAGCTGAAGAACAAGTACTGGTTATGTATCACAGATACTGGGAAGAGTATAGCAAAGGGGCAGACTATATGGACTGTTTATACAGGTAAGCTTTGCAAAAGATTTGTTAAACTTCTGAAATGATTACAGTGATCTGCTGCTTAAGTTGAAGAACGTTGCTTAAAGAGAGCAATAGCTGAATAGGCCCCAGGTCGGCTTTGGAGAGAATATAGTTACGGTAGCAGAACATGAGAAAAAAGGAGTAATACTCCAACAGTTTTTTTTCTGTGCACTGCTCCTTACCACTGAAGTAATTATCTAAGATGATTCCTACTATTCTTTCATTACTAATATATTCTACCTCTGTTGTTTCTGATGTTACAGTGCCAAATATATTGGTGCTAATCAACCCGGCAGTGAAGTGGCTCATAAACCTAGGTGTTCTTCTACAAGGATGGCATTGTACTGAAGCATCCAGTTGAACCAGCATGGTTTGTTGCAAAGCTTAGCCACATACCTTCGCAAAAACACAGCTGTCCCTTCTAGAAGAGCCTTTCAGTCAAGGCTATGTGCTCTTGGGTCCTTGCTTTTCAGGTTAATGTTTGAATTGCAGGGATTGGAGAAGGAGTGAAAATTTCTCCTTATTTCTTTTCTGAGAACTTCAGAAACGAATAGACTGTATACAAGCAATCAATTTTACAGTTTTTTTCAGTAGATTACAGCCAAGTCTATAAATTAAACCACAACAAACCCCTGTTATTTTTGTACTTCTACTGTTTCCTGTATTGCAAATGTGTTTCGTTGCTACTAGTGATAGTTTAAGCATATAAAACTCAGCCATTCATGAGATGCAAGAATTATAACTATATTATAACTTTGGATTTACTAGGATTTGGATTTTAATTCCACTCTGTAGGTTGAGTATTCTAGTGTCCATTATGCATATGATACCCCGCAGGTAAATATAACTTATGAGGCACTGTTAATATTGAACTTACTTGATGGTAAGATGTGAGGATTTACAAAGGGTTTCAAGACCTTTGCTATTATGTTAGGAGATATGTATGTGATCTTGTAGAATCTGTTAAATTATCGCTAGCAGAATGGGAACAAATGTGATGGAGTCCATTCTGGGCTTGCAAACTTTAGTTCCATAACTGGAGAATTGATATGGGGGGGGACAGAAATCCTATTTATTGTGTATGAATCTCACTGATTCTGCTTTGTGTAACAGTTTTTCTGAGCACTTGAGTGCTTCTGGTCATAAACCAACAAATTAAAATACTTCTCCAGCAGTGTGAACCTGATTTTTTTGTTTTATTTTTAAACAAGCTAGAGCATTTTTTTCCAGTCAGTTATTATGCATACAAACCAACCTGTGCATATATATAAGTTCAGTAGAGTAGTATTCATATATCAGTGAAGCCAAGTTCTTAAACTCTGAAGTTAGTTATTTCATGCCAGCTCTGCCCATTCTAACTCTTCCTGCTTTACATATCATGTTTTGGTCCAAAAAATGTACTTGTTAGGTCTTCTCTTGGAAATAATTTCACCTCAAAGTTATATCTTTTTTTCTTGGTGTTGAAATTCTGAGTTTTGTCATATACTATCTTTTAAAGGTCGCTAAAGGGTATGACTTTGTGAAAGTATGATTTTTCTCTTAAATAATAAAATGTGCATTGTAATGGGAACTAAAAGGCCCTCTCATGAAGGCAAGAAATAATTCGGTGCTTGATTAGTAGAGTCATAATGACTTTCATGCATTGGAAACACTTCAAGTGTTAGGTCACTTTTTTGTTTTTTGAGAGAATATTTTGGGTGAAAGTACTTCTGAAGACCATAAGAAGATATTCTGGGTTTTATAAAGCAGTTGGAGTTCTTCTCTTACTTGCACACCTGCTCTCAAAAAAGCACCATAAATTAGTCAACTCCGTTGTATGCCAGGATCTAATTTGTATAATTTTTCCAGCAATGAAAACTGATTAATTTTTACTGCTAGTAATCTTAGTGTTATTTTTAAATGCAAGCCTATTTAAAGGAATCTATCTCTGCTTCTTAAACCTTCTACCCTGGTAGGTAATATTTGAATTACTACTGAAATGTGAGACACTACTTTTGAGCAAAATTAATAAAATGCAAGACCAATCATATGACTGGCAACGCAGTCAAATGTTTTCTTTCTTTGATGTTGATTTTGGTGTTTTGTTTTTTCACCCACCCCCCTGGGTGCATTTTGCTAGGAAAACAAATTTGGATTCAGTTTGAAAACTAAAATTCCATACACGCTTGACTAAACCAAGGTGATAAAACTGATGGAATAAAGAACACTTGATATTAAAGAAACTTCTTCAGTTATTGTTTTTGTTAGTTCTGATGATAAACATCATAGATAAAAACAATGCTGGGCATTGGGGCTTATCAGTGTCTTGGTGCTGTAACTGTTTTCACAGGTAATTGTTTTGTGTACCTTTATTTCAAGTAACTGGAGAGTTTTCTTATCCAGCAAATTGAAATTAATTTAAGTAATTTTTTTTTTAAAACAGCTGAAGTTTTAAAACTGGTTCATAATAAAATCCTGAAAGCTAGACACACATAATACAGCTTTTGCTTTGTTCTGGTTTGTCTTTTTTTTTTTACACTTGTAATAATACTAGCATAATAATGTATACTAATTTTTAGTTCTTTAGCCTAATCTTAGTTCTCTTTCTTTTTGTACTTTTATGTGAGACATCTTCCTTCCCCTTCAGGATTAAACTTCAGCCGGTTTTATTATGATATTATGATAGGAGTAATTTGTATTCTGATTCTAAGCATAATATCACAGTAACCTGTAATACAATTCAAAATCATTAATTCCAGCCCCCTTCTCATTTTTTAAGTGTTAAGAAGCTGCTGCTCTTAATCCTGCTTACTAATTATGTAACTTAATAAATATGGGGAAGATTTAAACAAACAAGAAGTGCCATCAACATTTGAAACCTAACATTAATGGTATTTTTCTATTGAAACTTCTTCCACTGAAGAGCTGCCTTCTTTGTAGGCTATAGCATTTGGTACCCCTGGGAGGTTTACTTCCACATCAGGTATTTATTATTGGTCTCATTATTTTGATATGGCCCTTGCATTCATAAAATTTTAGTATTTGCAGTGCTTTGTTGTAATGAAATGGCTTTCATTTATTAGCTAATCCTCCAATCGTGGTAGATTACTTTAACCCTATTTTACAGATCTATAAACCAGTGAATACTTCATCTGTGCTTAAAAGTGAATCAGAACAGATACTGGATTATGGAAATTTCCAGTGCTGAGCACTTGTATGTGTACACTACTAGACATGATAAAGCATTATGCTTGGATAAAGCACAGTGGTTCTGCTGCTTTTAGTATAGCTCTTGTGAAGTCACCATTGCATGCTTTCATTGAAACATTTTAAAAAAAAAAAGTAGATGTGAATAAACCTTTGAAGGTCATCCATTTCAACCTTATGCTCGGAGTAGGGCTAGCTTCACAGTTAAACCAGGTTGCCTAAGGCTTTGTTGAGTCAAATTCTGAGCTCCTTCAAGGACAGAGATTTTGTTGCCTTTATGAGCAGTCTGTTTTAGTGCTTGGTTACTCTAATTCTAAAAAATTTTCTTGTATGTCTGTTTGGAATTTGTCATGCTGCAACTTGTGTCCATTGCTTCTTGTCTTTTCTCCGTGCTCCTCTGAGAAGAGTTTATCTTCATCTTATGTATGTCTCATGCTCTGCATCCTAGCTGTTTCAGTGAGCTTTCTCTGGACTCCCTTCCATTTGTCCAGATCTCTTGTATTTGGGTACTCGAAACTGGTCATAATGTTCCAGGTACATCCTCACAAGTGCTGAGGGAACAATCACCTCCCTCGACTTGCTGGTACGCTCTTGCTAATGCGGCCAAGGAGGTGGTTGGCTCACTGTCAGCTCTGCAAGGCAAACTGCTAACTTAGTATCCACCCATGAGGAACAGTGTTCATAACTGGTCCCCAGCACTGCTGACCATATAAATGGACATGGAAATTATTGAAAGTATTAATACAGTTGCTAATTTCTATTATACAGTAATGTACCCATTTATAACTTTGTCATGTGATTGCATATGCATTCTGTAGCTTGCAAAGCAATATAATTGTGCAAGTGGTAGGTTAAAGAAAATCTTGAAAAACAAACTGAATACTTCTGAAAACTAATGGTAATAATTAGTCCTAGCTAATTAGTTACTTTTTTTTTTAATTGCCTGCTATACATCAGAACAGTGAATGATATTGCCATGTAGGGTCCGTATCCATTTCTCTGTCCATGAGCACTTGCAGTGGCCTGTGAAAATTGTTAGCAGGGTACTCTCGGTGCAACTTTCTGAAAGCAATTTCCTCAGCACTTGGTTAGGTTTATTCCTGTATACTGTTCTGCTAGACTCCTGTGCCATTTTGGGGATCAGTATAGCAGTCTGACTATGTGTGTGGAAGGGGGACGGGTGAAGAAAAGAGTTGTTGCTCAGAAGATTCTTTAGCTTTGGAGAGCTTTCAGAGGAGGAAAAGATTCTGAATAGAGGGCATCTACCCTTTTTGCTTAAAAAAAGTATGGTACTTCTAGAAATACATATAATCATGTCTGTTGTTTTGTGGTGTCATATCATGGATGGACAAAGACTTAAAGGAGGTAAATTCTTTAGGGTTTATCATGGAGAACATAAGAAAATAACTGGGAGCTGACTTGAGACAGGTACGCTCCTAGGTTTACTACCTTCAAGCTAAATTTTACCATGTCTGTTTTGCCAACACTAATATTTGTTTCTTACCTAGGAGTATGTAATTCAAACTACTAAAACCAAATAAAACATTAAAAGAAAAAAATACACATCTAATCCTTCTGACAAGGCTTTGCAAAGTCTGTCCCCCCAAGGACACTGCATGCTATTGAGATGTGGAAACATTGCTTTGGGAATGTGGCCACTGTGTCTGGAATAGTAATCTGTGCTTAGACTGTTGTCCTTTGTTGATCTAAAAGTACCAAATACATGAAAGCTAGCAGGTAACCTGTCCCAATAATTAGCTACCCTTCTAATTGTTAAATTAGTTTTTGCAGGGTATTTTTTGCTAAATTCCTTGTATCCTTTTATATATCCTTGTATAATATCCTTTTATTTTGCTGAATTACCAAGTCCTTTATATCTGAAGAAATTTGCCCACAAAAAAAAGTCATGTACCAGACATTTCCCAATATTGTCAGTTTAGATGGAACACTATCTTTCAGTATTCCACTGTAAAGTAGGTATTTGTTTTGAATGGGTCTTGTAGCACTCTTGTAAATTCCAAACTTTTAACTTCTTTCTGGAGTGGAAGCTTGGTGGGTGTATTTTGAGGTGTGGGTACCAAAAGGTATACTGCTTTGCTAATAACATGAAGGGAAACCTCCATTTTCTCATCTTGTCTGCCATTTTCCTCATCAGATAGTAAAGCATAAGCCTGCACAGCTGCACTCTCAAGTAATTGGGTGTGAGCTGTGTGATCAGGTGTTTCAAATTTTCACCTGAAAGTTTTATCTCAACAGTAGCAAGAGTCTGGACAATTTCTGGTATTATGAATGCATGCCCAATCCTTGTCCCCAGAGTAAATTACAGATGAACCTTATGGATTGTCTTTTAAAAGTAAGACATAGATGAAGTATTTGAAGTAGTTATTCAAGGTGAAAAAAGGTTTATGACTTCAGTGAAGTTGACTTGAGATTATACTGTTTTCATATCCTTTGCAGTTATTTGCTTGTGCTTTGTTCTGGAAGTTGATGGTAAAAATAGGTGAAGGGGAGAGGAAATGTGGGCAAATTTGGTTTTGGTTTTGAGGCAGAGTATGGTGACGCTCTTGCCATGAGTCATTCTGTCTGCCTGCTTCTTGCCACCCCCTTTTTGCTTGAATCACATAGGTCTTTGCAGGGCTACCTGTTATAGGTTAAACTTGTTTATTTACTTGTGGCTATGTTAGTTTTAAGACAGATCAATTGTCCAATCTGGATTTGTTGAAGAGAGAGGGTGTGAATGAGGAGAGCATAGGGCTTTCCTTTTTAGCAAGCTTAACAGGAAAAAGCAGAATGGCAGCTGCTGGCTTTGCTCACGTGGTGAGGGGCAGGAAATATCATCAAGGAGCGTGCCTGCTTAAGGCTTGTGTTCCAACTATTCTGGATGTCCACACAAGTTTTATATGAGATGACAGGCCTGTAGCCTTCTACACAGACTTGCATTTACAATTTATGATGGTTATTGGTGGTAGCAGAGGGCTTAAGTACTCTGTAAGACTCTGGAGTCTGAAAGTAGGTTAGGTCACTGTATTCCAGTTTGTCACCACTGCACTATCACAAGTCTTCATTCTTTGTACTCTGTGGTGTCCTAAATCCTTTCAAGTGCACAGGTTTCCATAGTGTGTTACTCCTTCTCTTCTTTGCCTGTCATTTGTCTTCCTGCTGAAAGTGTTCAGACGTCACTAGTCTGATGCAGCCTTTGAAGCCTGAATCTCCTGAAGTGCTTCAGTAATCTGGCTCTCTTCAGGGTCTGAAACTGGGCATCTCAAAACTGCTAGTTAGATTGGAATTTAAAAAAAAATAAAATTCTCAGTTACCTCATTTAAGCACTAACATAACAAATATTGTAAGGGTAGTTATGAAACATATTAGAAGTTTTTTCCCAGTTATCTGGGAAAGAGGAGAATGGTTCAATTTAAAAATGTTACTGTATTTCTTTTAAAGGGAATCCTGAGAATTAAAAGGGATGTTTTACCAGGTCTTGTGCAGAAATCATTTTCTATTATTTATAAAAACTATGCATATGATAGTACATACTAAATACTAAAATAAAATAAACTGTTTATAACATTTCTTCTTTATAACTGTTAATTAAAATAATTTCTACAAATTTTTCTCTTATCTTCAGAATTTGTAATAGAGCTGTTTGCTAGTTACCATGACCTGTGTAAGGGATCATAACTGACAAAAATTGGCCCTGTAAAAATTGACACTATTTTTGTGGTTTAGTCTGAGAAATGCAAAATAATAAACAGTACAGGTAGAAGAAAATACATTTTACTTAAAAGTACTAGATACTCAGGAACATTTTTCTAACATTAAAAATAAATAAATTACTGTCGCTCTAATACTAGTCAACTGCTCAGAATTTAGCAGTTATTTTGCATATACATGTATGAGTAATATGGCCATGTACATTGAAATGTTGGAGTCTTACACAAGTATATTGCAGACCAAGAAAATGCTGACAATGATGTATCAGGCTAGTGTTTGATATCTCAATTACTAATACTGTACTGTTTTACTATGATGCAAGATCTTTTAAATCAGTCATTTGTATTTTAAGAATTCCCTACCAATAGCAATGGCACTGGTTAAAAGAGGTTATCTTTTGTGATGTGGAAGACATTCCACAATTCCAAATTTATTAAAAAAAAAAAGTCTTAACTTTTGCCTGTTTTGATTAGAATATCTTTATTTCTATAGGTACCTCAACACACAGTTTATTAAGAAGAACAAATTGACTGAAGCTGATCTTCAGTATGGCTATGGAGGAGTGGATATGAATGAACCATTGATGGAAATAGGAGAGGTAGGTGTCTCTGAAAGTGGGAGTGGATATAAACTGTGCTCAGAAGCACTACAAGTTCAGCTTTGTCCTTCTAAATTTCAACTTCTCTGTGTCACAGAATCTGAATAGTTAAATATGGTAGAAGATGTAAGCAGTGAGCCTTTTGTAAAATGAGATTACAGTTTTGATGTAGCAAAATGTAGTGGCCTAGGGAAAAAAATAAGCAAATATGAAAACTATTGGAGAACTTCAGTTTACAATGTGATAATAGATACCACTTTGCAAAAAAAACCCAAACCGACCCAACAACTTTGGTTTATTAAGTGACACTACTATCTAGAAAATATTTTGAAGAAGCAGTACTTTTGGTTTTGGAAACCCTTGAAATACAACTTTTAGGCTTCTATTTCTTGATGTCACAAAGTATAACAGCTTTTTTTGAGATTAGTCTTCTGTGATACTGTACATCTTATTTTCTAATGCTAGCTGTTTTGTATTTCTGTTGTGGCAACTTGGATAGAGATTTTGAAAGAAAAAGTAGACATTCTGTGCACAGAAGTATGTATAGAGGGCTTATCTTTAAAAAAAAAAGTAATTTGGGGCAAACACAAGGGTGATTACACAGTTATTAATGTAAATTGGAGAGGCTGAGAGTAATTTTTAAATACCTATAAAATGAAAAAAATTGTCAGCAGCAGGACTACGTTCTGAGAGAACTACCCTGTACACTTCAGCTATGCAGAAGTGAAGTATGCATAATTTCTGTCACTTCATGGCTACTGCTACCATGAAATATAAGAAAGTAAAATTAAAAGATAATTTTACAGTAAAAAAAAAAACTTTCAAATTTTTCAAAACAAAGTGTTTCAGTACGTTTCTAAGAAGATTTTGAAAACATCTTTTAGTCTGAATCAGAAAAAAACCACAATCCTGAATACAGTTGAATAGAAGCCTTTCTTTGGAATGCTTGTTTGTGTATCTGTTTGCTTTGTGTCTATACATATACACACTGCTAGCTGGAGAATTCATTTTATTCTGTCATCATCTGTAGTGGTGTATTGGTTTTTTTCCTTTCCTCTACATTTGCCTTTTTCTCTAAAAGGGAAGTGAACACTAGTTCTCTTTTGGTTTTGAAAGCTAGAGAAAAAGCTTTTTTTTTTCTTAATGTCAGAACTTGATCTATCAGTGGTTACTGTTCTCGGTCTTTGATTTTGTTGTTTTAAGGAGGAGGTCTTTGCTGCCTTTAGTTATGAGTAAGGAGAGATTGTGATGCATGAAGAGGCATCTTTTGTGCTTCTGACCCAGCTACCCAGCTGTTGAAGACAGCACTGCAAGTTGAAATTGCTGATCCTCTGACAAGTTGGGGGTGGGTTGAAAAAAACACCAGAAACATGATCTACTTTAAGTCAAGTCAATGCAGGAAAGGAAATTCTTCTCTTGTCTACCTGTGCTGTCTCCAGTGCTTGCTAATCAGTGGCATCTGTAAAAGGCTTATCAGAGCTTGGAAGTGCATATTGCTGCACTGTTTGTGGTATCTTCAAAATTGCATAAATGTTATTTCTTATTTCCTCAGACTGAGATTTAGCCAAGTCTGTTCCCATGATTGTCGGAGGTAGTCCTTAGCTCTGTGTGAATGACTCTTAGTTCAGTTGCTTTGGGGGCTGGGAATAGGTCTGGGCTTGTTATTGGGGCTTGGTGATGGTGATGTATTTATGAATTCTTGCCCTGTTTCAATATGTTACTACTCCATTGTGAGGTATGACCCAAAGGATGGTTGTGGCAACTTTTGTCCATCGCTTTCTGCCCTAGTGTATGTTTAGTGAAGAAGAACAAACAGCAGACCTGATAATTCAGCTTTTTTTTGAGTATTCCATTTTCTTCATGTTTATGGAATTATAAGCAGGGCAGAAGAACAATGACACACACTTTTCTTCAAGCTTCCCAGCAGTTGTTCCTAGGATGGTACATCCCTAGCTCATCATTCAGGCAGGTTATGGGGAAGGTCAGGATTCTTAAACTGTAGCTGGCAGCCTTTGGCTTTTGATGAAGGTGTTTGGATGATGATGTCTGGAATTCTGCTAATGAGTTTTTCATTATCTCACTCCAAGACTCCTTCCATTTCTCTTTACCAAATAGTGTTTTTGTAATCTATAGTAGTGGAAGGTAAATTTTGGATCTTGAGGCAGTAAAGTTATTCTCTTCATTACTGGTGTAGGATTAGGTTTATGGCAGTTACTCCTTTGCCCTGAAAAGGAATGGAGACTTGAGTCCTACACTCAAGTAGTTTAATGCATTACATTGCAGCACTGTTTTTGGTGAATTCATTGCCGCAGAAATAAAAGTAGTTCGTATTCCTTGACCTACAAGGCACTCACCAAGTTTATCAAGTCTTTGTTTTGAAAGCATTTTCTCTTTTGTTATGGTTCCTGTTTAGGATTCTGTCTTTTATTCTTTGGATTGCACTAAGGGCTTTGACAAAAGTCTTTTAGTTGTTCATCACTTCAGAATAGAAGGAATTATCATTTATCCCTTTTTAGATGACTGTCCCTTATCTACTGAAGAGCAAACATGCTTATGATATATATAGTTCTTTTCAGTCTCAGCATGAAGTTACAGAAATAGTGCCCAGTATTTGTAGAAGCAGAGCTATACCCTCTATGTACTAAAGTTTCTGTCTCGGTGTCGTTCGTGTGTGCTAATGAAACTTTGGGACATTTTCAGTAATCTTAGAACAAGTACATGCTTGCTTAGTTGTTCTGGGGTGTATAACAGTAGGTACATGCAAGAGACTGGAGGTGCGTATGTGATGTGTATGGGCATGGCATTGAGCAGTTTATCATCCCGATAAGCGTTCCAGACATTCAGTAATTGTACTAGGAAAAATACAGGATGAGATCAGTTGATGAAGGTAGTCTGCCAGTGCTTGCAAGACTTTTTTTTTTTTTTTCCTGTCTGTGTGTTACAAATGGACGGTGGAGGATACTGCTTTTCTGAGTTGAGCTCCTATCACCAATTTCAGACTTCCAAGTTTTCAATGACTCTACAGGAGCCCTGAGCTAGCAGGTAGTTAAGATGTGCCTTCTGTTTTTTTCCCCCGTCATGGGGCAACAGATTCAGGAAAATGGACGAGACTGCCATGTTCTGTATCTAGGTGGAGAAATAAGATCAGTCCCTCTCTTCAAGGAGAAGACAGACCCTTGAACTTTAAGTTCCTGGATTGACCTGTCTGTAGTTTACTTGATGAGAAAATTCCAACAGGCAACTTGAAGCTGTTTCAGATTGGTAGATAATATGTGAGAGGGACCATGTTTCAGAGATCATATTGCAGAATTGAGTCACTGAGGTCATCCCCCTCACCTCATAGTCACAAAATGAGTCAGTCTTTTTTTTTTTTTTCCCCTCTCCAGAACTAGCTTCTTTCAGCATTCTCTGCTGGATGAGTTCCTGATGTCTTAGGGAAACTGTTTTCCTCTTAACTGTTCTACTAATACTGTCCACAAGGCAAGACAATGAAAATCACTCTTAAGGCAACTTTGATTTCAAAGCATTATTTGTCTGATTTATAAGCAAACCTTTACCTCTTCTTTGAACCTGCTTATAATGCAGCTTTACCTCCCAGACTTCTGTACCCTGTATTACAGCATAGGTGCTGGATAGCTGTGACAGAGCAAGTTCATTTGTCTCCTCTTTAAAAGGATGATTTATTTCACAAATTGGATCAGATTGGATACCTAGTTGATAAATAGATTCCTACTTTCAGTTAAGACATACCTTATCAATATTTTAATTTTTACAGCTAAGGACCTGTCAGTTGTGTCAAAGCTTTCTTAGCAGCCATATTCCCTCTGTCCTCAGTGATTCAGGGCATTTCATTTTTTTCCCAGCCTATTACTCACTGGTAGGTGTTTTTAGAGGTCTCAAATGTGTGTGGTTATTCCCCCCCCATTTGAGGGATCACATTATCCCCTTTGGGCTTTAAATCTGGTTTTGACTTACGTGTAAAAACTCCTTTGAATGCTTGTAGTTGTGTTTTTAAAAATGGTATGTTTTGGGAGCAATTACTTCACCCACAAGAGTTTGAGATATTTGAGTCCATTTGACTGATCCCTCTAATGATATATTAGGAATAGGGTGACCTATCCCTAATATGAAGAAGATTTGAATTCCATTTAAGTCAAATATTAGCTTGCCAGTGACTCTGCTCAAGCTGTACGCATCTTAGTTTGGACATGTTCTCTATGTGTTGGATATAAGGGTTCTGTATCTTTAAGTCTGACAAATCGGCCAAGAGACTTTCCCTTTTGTCAGTTGAGGCTTATTTTGCTATCGTTTTTAGAAATACTGGTGTCTGTACACATTCAAACACTTCAGATAGAAAGGAATCTTACTTACCTATTACTATGCAGATGTTTTGTTTGTATGTACACTTAAAACTTGCCCTCCTAACCAGCATGTTTAGGGTCCTTATGTGCATTTGAGAATCCTTGACAGACTGGAACCAAGGAACAAATCAGTCCTATTAGATGTGTAGGAAGCATGCGGGCTGGGAAGCATGCATTCAGACACTGTCTGGCTAGAAATTCTATGTCTGACACTGTTAGTGTACAGATCTGTGTCATATTCATCTGAATGCAGTCAGATGTTCTAGAAGAAAAATGATAATGTATTTATATATTGACAAATTGAGGGGGCGGGGGGCAAACAATAGAATTTAAAAAGGAGAAAGAAGAGGGCATCTAAAAATTTAACTTTTAAAATTCTGAATGGGGAATTGTGTCATCCTTGGTTTTGTTTTGGGGTGGGTTTTTTGTATTTTTTGTTGATATAAACTTGTATTGTGTCCTGACAGCTAGCTCTTGATATGTGGAGAAAATTAATGATTGAGCCACTGCAGTCCATCCTTATTCGGATGCTCCTCCGAGAAATAAAAAAGTGAGTGCTTGATTATTTTTTGCTTTTACACAACGTGGGGGTATTGCACTTTTTTACTTTGAGAAGTCTGGGGACTTTGACCAAATTCTTCTATGTTTTTTTTGAAAGTAGCTTCTTACCTGATTATGATGTTCTATCAGTTTTTCTCATTGTAGCTACAGATTTGTGGTTTGCATATGTGGAAGAAGACTTGTGAAAAGAAAACAGTTGATTCACTGTAATCTGAGGGTAGTGATCTTTTATGTTTCAGCAACCTTTCTTATCAATGGGATTGGGGAGTAGTTAGGGTAATTCCCCAGGTCTCATAGGATGCCTTTTGCCTTTTTCTCCACCTGAAGCTGACTGCTTCTGGCTTCTGTGCTCTCAGTAAAAATAAGGACCAGGACTTACGCAAGGATTTGCCGAAGCCAGAAAAGCTCATACTTTGTATGAGACCCAAAACAATTCTTGCTTATCTGCCAGGAAGACTAAGCTTCTGGGTTTCTGTTGTTCCAAGGAGTGACTTCACTTAACATTCTTGGTGCTTTACTTGAACAAAATGGAAATTTTTTTAAATTTTTTTTTTTTACTTTGAGGGAATTTATTATTTTATTTCTGAATATCTTTGTTACTTTTAAATGAAGACCCTGGTAGTTGCAGGACTTGGGGCTTTTTAAGTTTGGGGTTAAAACCTTTATGCTATTTAACTCCTAAAGGATCCTTATAATTATGAATAAACAGAAATGTTGAAATGTACTGCAGACCCTGTGTAGTTGTAAGTTCCATCAGTTTCTACACTTTTACCACTGTATAGGGTAGCTCTGGAGCTGCTTAATGACTAGGTTTTTTTAATGTGATTGCGTGCCTGACTCAAGTGACTCGGCTGGTGTAGGTAAACTGAAAGAGTGAGGTACTTTGGCTGATTGAGGTGCCTTGGACATGCACTTAGCCAAAAAGCATTAAAAAACTGATTTTAATATTATAATTTTATTTTTCCTTCCTGAATTAAATTTTTGATGACTAAGTAACTGACATGATGTCCCTCTCATGGTATTTCTGAAGCCACGAAGTATTTATTTGCTTTCAGTTGTTGAACCATGCTTCCTTTGTAACCTGTGCTAATACTGCTTTATCCATATGTTTACTATCACAATTTATTTTTACTAAATGAAGATTCCCTTATTCATGGTGAAGAAAATGCTTTGTTACATTAAGCACAGTGACACTGAAGAGTCTTTTTAGTCAATCTGTATATTTCACTGGTGGGTGGGACAGGAAATCTGTGTTAAAACCTTTCTCAACAGCCATCTGATGCCTCTTAAAAGTAATGGTATGTATTTACCTTGAGGCTGACTGCAAACCTCACAAGGGTATTTAGATCTAGACTCTCACTGGCTCCGTGTGGCGTTAGATCTTGAGACTGTAACAAGTTGATGTTCTTTGTTATTAAACCATTTGGAAAGTTTTAAATAAAACTTGAGTCATTGCCTCTAATTTGGGTCTGTATTTTTTTCCCCTCTGTTATTAATGATTCTGCTGTGTGATCTCAGAGAAGTTAATTCAACTCTGTTTCTCAAAATACACATCCAACAATTTGTATTAAGTTTGTTCCAGCCACTTTGTGATCTGCCTATCATGTAATGAACTATATAAGAGAGAACTTATTATAGCTGTCCATCATGGTATCATGAAATGTAGGGCTTGCTATGGGTATTCTGAGGATGGCCTTTGCATGTAACTGTAGGCTTTTTGCTGTTCTTTGCTATGATTCCAGTGGTCAATATGGTTTGTAAGAGACAATTTTAAAGACTTTGCTGCAAATAGCTGCTAAATGTCTTTTAGCATTGAGTTCAGCAATTCAGGGATTAAACAGTGTCTTTGAAGAAGTGGATATCAATAAGTTACACCTGTCAGAGGTACAAGAATATGCATGGGAAGTTTATTACCTAAAAAATTTAATAAAATTACTAATACATGTATATATTCAGAAACCCCTTCATTAGATGGCCCTCTTAAGTGTAGTACATAAGTGTGTGCATGGTTCAATTTATTAAAATGTTTTACAAAAAAATTAAAATTCAAATAGATGGGACAGTTGAACTTCTTATAACTGGAAGATTTTGCATAGTATGCAACAATATGTGGAATCGATAACATTGTAGTCAACTCGTTGCATATAAAAGTATGTTTATTACTATGCTGGCAAAGGTAGGGGGAGCAGAGGCACAAATTTTGCTGTCAGGTTTCATTTTATCAATGTATTTAATTGGAATTTTAAAAAAGACTTCTGACTAAAATCTTGAGCACATCTACTTTTTAGAAGCTATAAACTTGTGCAATACACTATATGTTAAAATTAACTAAACTTTTTTGGCACATGAAAAAGAAGTACAAGTAGTGACTTGTAGTTCAGCTGAACAAGATGGCTAAACTGATCTAAGAGTTTGCTGATGCCAAAAAGGAGCAGGCTGTGCTCTACTGTCTTTCTTGCGCTGAATTTGGTGCTCATCTAGTCCGTTAGTGAACCAACTCAACTGCTAATATGACAGAAAACCATCCTGGCTAATATTTCTCCGGATTGGCATCATGAGTCGGTTCAGCAAAGAATTAGATGAGTGCCAAAGCAATGCAAGAGGGATAGAGAGGCCTGTGGCTGAGCAAAGGGGAGCAGGATTACCCCCCATGAACAGCAGAGAATTGTTAAATCACTTAAGCCTGTCTTGTCTGACTGCACTCCTCTTAATACAGAGTTCTGAATATAACACACTTTCTTCCCCCTCCCTCTAGCCCAAGCCCTCCTCCTACAAGGCAAGCTGAATATCAACTTACGCATTTTTGTTTCAACACAACAGGAAGCCGACAAGATCTCAAATTGTGAGAAAATTCATCTATGAAATTCTTAAACAGAAATAATTTGGAAATTATTCAGGTGCTATCTCAAATGACAGTGTGATTAGTACGGACTAACGAGGAGAGGCTTCTCTACTAAAGATAACTAACACTTTCTAACTAACCGAACCTATTCCTGCCTAAGTTGATACATTATTTTTGTCATTTGTTTGAAAGGAAAGCTACTAGAAGTTAATAACTTCTTAAAAAGTGTTTGAAACAGCCTCTTTATTTCACAATGAATTCTGTAGTTAATTGGTCTGACACAGCAGAGCACTTCTTTTGAATGATGGAATCTTCTTTTAATGAATACAATATTTATTCTTGTACCTTAAACTTTAAATATGTTCTATGGGGCTATAGTAGTATACTGGACAATACATGTTAAACTTCCACTGTTAGCTTTAGTCTTAAGATAGGAACAAGAGGGAGTTAATATAAACCAGCACAAAGTCCTTGAGCTTGTGTTCTGTAGTTTTCTTCATTTCTTTTGAAAAAAAGAAACTCAGCAGCAGCAGAATTAGTGGAACTTGTGTTTCTAGTGCTTTATCTTTTTGTCTAGATGCCCCACCAAGCATCATCATTGCCTTCTACACTCCCAAGATGTCCAGTGACATCTCTGCTTCAAACTGTACAGCAGCAGCTCTGTAGCTGTATGCATCCATATTGCTTGCTGACTACTGCCAAGAAGGAAAAGATGCACTTAATAGACTTCCACCCTGGTGGGGTCACCAATTTCTCTCATTTTAGTGGGGCAAATACTCTTATTACTACAACTTTCATGAAAATCATCCTTGAAACTTCTGAAATGTCTGTCAAATTTTGTTGAAACTAGCCATTTGTGTTACAAATTCTTGGGAGTGGAGTGCCATTGGTGTAAATAACAACCTGAAGATGCTGCCAAAGTGGAAAGAATGATAGTTTTGTGACATATGCTGTTTATCTTGGAAATAGCGTAGCTTTTCAGATAGGTTCATGATGAAGTTCATAACACAGTTCTGTCAATAAATTTCATGACAACTTTGCTGTAAATGTATAATACTCACCCACTGAGGAAACCTATGTTAAGCTACTAAAAATTCTCTAAGTGTGGCATCTTGTATAAAAACAAACAAACGAACGAAAAAACCTTATGTGATCCTGGCAGTTGTTCCAAACGTTATTGCATTGGCAACTGCATCCTCGCTACCTCAGTATTCAGAAGTGGATTTAAATTTCTTTTTGTTGTGTACTACCAGCTACCCAGAAGGCAGGCAAGGCTGGTTCTATGTTGTGTTGTTTTCGTCTGTCGCCTTCGTGCCATCTGGCCTGCGCTTCGAAAGCCTGTCTCCTCCCTTACAGCTCTTTCACAGAGCATCTGCCTCCTGTACTTCTACAGCTTTTTCTTAATGATACGCTGACCTTCGAATCCCCTGGGCCTGACCTTTGCTGCTCCCTCTCCTCCCGTGTCTGTGTGGGCTAAGGTCTGTGAAGTGGCCTGTGAACCGAGCAGGGGGGAGCTGGGTCTTCATCTGTCACTACAGTAATGCTTCTTGTGTTTGTGTCACAAGACGCTGCCACAGTGTCACCGGTATCTTTCCAGGTCCAGAACCTGGCGTGCTAGAGGTGGACTGGACTGTCTCTTGACAGAGCCCTGCCTTGCAATATGCTCAACTTTTAGTTATGCAGCTTCCTGCACTCCATGACATGGTGCTATGTTCACAGGCTGCACGTGTCCTGCAGCTTACCGTGGTCCTGAGCCCCTCCGGGGTGCAGCTGGGTCCGAGCCCTGGTCTGGTGTTACAGTTCTTCCCTTCTGTGAGCTGCTGCTGCCTCTGCTGTCGTATAACCAGACCCAGCAGAGGGTTGTTGGCAAGAATGCATTACGTGTACCCAGATTTACTCCATTTACTCAGCTACCAGAACCAGAGGAAACCTTTCTGTCCCCCAGGGGAAAAAAAAATAATCAAACCATCCCTGCTGGAGCAGTTACCTGTTAGGTCAGCTCGCTTGTTACGGGTGACAAAGCTACAGAAACCATGCAGTGACTACTTGTAAGCTGTTAGAGAGCTAGTTCCTCCTACCCATTGTGAGCTTAAGTTTTCAGATCTTAGGACACAGTGGTATTTAGAAGCAATACACATAATTAACAGTGTTGTGAACATATGAATATGGTCTGGTGTATGTAATATGATGACTGCTGGTGCGGCTGTCCCGGTAAACTTCCCTAGCTTATGGGCATCCTCTGGAGCTTTTATCAATTCCAAACCAAAATGAATGAAATTAGCAAAATTATTCCTCCCCCATTCCACCCCAGCCTAGATGGGTATATGGTAATGTTTGGATCTGAGGTATTTTTGCTGGCTTTACTTTTTTTTTTTACGTTTTTATTTTTTTTAAATCACTCATGTAAATGACTCACCTATACCAACGTAAGTTTCTAGCAGAGAACTCATTTTGTCTTTTCAGTGTAATCTGGGTAAAGTAAAAGTTCTTATTCTATGTACATATATACTTGTATACATATGTATTAAAAAAAGGAAAACCTTTGAAATTACAATTGCTGATGCTTAAGTGTAAATATACTTTTATAAATCATATTTTAGTTCTGTTTAACACCTTTGGAGTTAAGGAATAGTTTTTACTTCTTTGTAAAGTGTATGTGAAAGATGGTCTTTTTTTAGAACAGTTCATGTTTTAAGAAAGTCTCTGCTGCTCTGAGTGTGGGTCTCTTATTCCCAGTCTTTGCAAAGGAGTGAACACTAATGTTTTTAGCATGCAAAACACTTGTTTTAATTCTGTTTTCAACTGAATGGGACTAAAAAATAATATTTTCTTCACTTGAACTTGCTCATTTGAAGCCAAGAACTTGACTGGAAAACATAAGGCTTTCCTTTTCCAAAGTATGATTAAAAATTGTGACAATGCGCCGTGTCTGTTATTTGTTCAACTTGACATCTACATGTTGCATAGTAGATATTCAGAAAAGAAAATAGCATGCTACTTGATGTGATGTTGGCAAAAATTATTTTTTGGGGCAGGGGCAGGAGTGTGAAAGTAGTCTATTTGATAAAGGCTACAGATATAAGACGGAACTTACTGTAACTTTTAAAGTACTTGCTTAGAATATGTAATTTGGAATACTTACATCCTTAGCAAACACTTGGAAATTTCATGACCTGCAAATGCTTTTGAATAGTTTATGAATTGTTATTTCAACAATTTAAATGTATGGGAGAGAAAGAAAAGTACATTTTAATTTTAAGATTAATCTTCATTTTGCCAATTTAAGCAGAGGAATTTACTGGAAAATGTTTTCATCCAATATTATTTCATTCGACTATCAGATGAGTTACACTAGATAGCTACATTCTCATGAATGTTTGCTTTGCCTATTTCAGTGATCGCTGTGGAGAAGACCCAAACCAGAAAGTAATCCATGGGGTTATTAACTCCTTTGTTCATGTTGAACAGTATAAGAAAAAATTCCCCCTAAAGGTAGATACACATTTCTGATTCATGTTTTTAATTTTGAATGTTAAACTAGTATATGTGTTATTTGTCCTTTAAAAAAAAATTCTCCCTTTTAGTTTTATCAGGAAATTTTTGAGTGTCCTTTTCTGAATGAAACAGGGGAGTATTATAAACAAGAAGCTTCAAATTTATTGCAAGAGTCAAATTGCTCACAATACATGGAGAAGGTAAGAGATTCTTCTGTACACATGCAATAACTAAAATCTAATACTATCAATTTACTGATAATTGTAATACATGTTTTCCTATACTGTTCCCATGGTTGTTCTTTGTTGTATGCTTTCATGCGGTTTAAACTATGCTTTTTGGTGTCATGGTTAGTCTGAATACAAACTACAAACCTTGCCCATGGGTGGACCATCAGCTTCAAAGGGTTTCATAATAAATGATAAATCAATTGCATGAAAAGTAAAAAAAAAAAAAAAAAAAAGTAAAAGAAGAAAAAAAGACAAATACCAAAACACGTATCAGGTTGATCAGTATTGCTTCCTCACTTCCTTGTTTTCCTTCTGTTTGTAGTAGCATAAGATGAGTTTTAACAATACAATGGTTAGAGAAGACTATATGGTAGAGTTGTTACAGAGCATTGTTAAAAATTACATATTCTGAGGTGGATTTTCTTTTGTTTTGCTTTGTGGTGTGTGAAGTCAGGTTGTGGTTAAATTACTTGTAATTCTTAAACCTTGCTTGATAAAGCAAAGATTAATACAAGATTAGGATCAGTCCTCAGTGCTGTACTGTCCACGCTAAAAAGATAGAAGAGTTGAGGAGAAGGCGGTGAGATTGCTTTTAAATAATGAGCATAAGCTAACAGTTGCACACGTGAGATGAAATTCAGGGACAGGCTAAGACTTCAATTAAACCAAAACAAATGCAGATTAATTTTGTCTATCATTAGCAGTCTGCTGCTGCACTACTATCCCTAGGGTCACCTCATATTCACTGGTTATAAGGACTTTTATGTCAGTATTCATATGACTGACTTTATGATAATGCCTATTTCCTTCATTGAAGTTATAAAGAGAGTTTTTATTAATAGCTCAGATGTACTCCCATACCTTTTGAGCAGATGTTTACGTACAAGCACATGGGTTTGGAACAGTGAAGTGATTCTTATATAATTAGGTGTTGTGGTAAAACTTTCTCAGAAGGAATAAGAAGTATGGTAGGAGAAATTGGGGAAGACTGGTCACATAATTGAAGGGAAGAAGAAATTTTGAGAACTACCAAGTGCTATTAGATATCTAGTAGTGACTGAGCCTAGTCAGTACTCGGAGTAGAAGATTATATTAATTTAGTAAGAGCCTGATTCAAAAGAGCAAATTTAATTTTTCAGCATCCCAGACAAGTTCTTTTTTAACTTTGTTACTTACTCATGTCTCTCGTTCTACATACATATACTGTTGTATATTCGCGGTTCTATAATGGTTGTTAGTATTTCATCAGCTCTCACTGTAAAAACTTGTCTGTAGGTTTTAGGTAGGTTAAAAGATGAAGAAATGCGGTGTCGGAAATACTTGCATCCCAGCTCATATGGCAAAGTGATTCATGAATGCCAACAGAGAATGGTAGCTGATCACTTACAGTTTCTGCATGCAGAATGTCACAATATTATCAGACAAGAGAAAAGAAGTGGTAAGTCTCAATGGTCACAAAAAGCATGAAGTGGTTTTTGTTGTATTCATTTAGCATTACAATTTACTGTCTTTATTCAATGACCTTCTATGCACTTCAGCATTTTCAACTAATACATGTTGCTCATCTAGAAAGCCCAATTAAACCCTGAATGACATTTTTCTTTGACCATGTAATTCATTTTCATTCTTCCAAATATATAGTCAAAACCTTCTTTTTACTGTTAACAATTCTTCTTTCAGCCAATACTCTTTCTCTTTCCTTGTCTTAGCTTAAAAACACACTGAAGTCCTGTGTCCTGTAGAATTGATCATATTCTATGCTTGTGTTTTCATTTGTAAACCAATGGCTCTGTCTTTACAGATTTCTTCATCATCATTTGACAGGTCAGGATTACAAAATATTTTGGCTTCTTTTCACAGCCACTTTTTATTGTCCTGAATCTTTCGTGACCTCTCTTCCCAAATTTTTTTTACAGAAGCAGATGTTCTTATAGTTATATTCCCTGCCTGACTAAAAAAATTATACTTCCTGATGACTACATGCCTCTTACCCTTGAAAGAGTGCTTATTCTTGCATGGAAGATGGTATCTATTATGTGAAACAAATTATTTTTCACAGTCAAACTTAAATTGTATCTAATAGTGTTCAGTTTTCAGAGTTTTGCAAATTTGGTCAGAGCTTGGATCCTTTTGTTGCAAAAAAAACCCCAAAACCATAAAAATTGCAGTTGCTTATTTACAGCTTTTCTAACCTGAGAAAAATTTCAAGCCACCACTGGAGGAAAACAAAAAGTCAAGAAGATACCTAAACTGATTTTAGTCAGCTGCTGCTAAGGGAAATTTAGGGAGGCCAAGGATTAAAATAAACTGACACAATACTTTTCCATACTAGCCCACCTCTCCTCTCGGAGTCTCTCCTAAATAAGAAATATTGGAAGAGTGAGGTAGTCACAATGGCAGTGCTCAGTAAATACTGCTATTAGCCCTACTCTTTCCTCTTTTTCTTTTGTCAGTGATCCAGTGTATGTTGAATTTTTTTTTTTTTTCAAAACAGTTGGTCTTGTTTCGGTCTTTGAAAAGTTCTGTGTGAAATTATGATACTATATTAAGTGTTGATTTTTAGCGTTTCTAAGCATATTCTATAAAAATGTATCTCTGTTACAGACATGGCAAATATGTATACTCTACTTCGTGCTGTGTCAAGTGGTTTACCTCATATGATTCAGGAACTACAAAACCATATCCATGATGAGGGCCTTAGAGCAACCAGCAATCTTTCTCAGGAAAATGTGAGTTTCCTCAGGCAGCTGAAATTACCTATTTGATTAACATTCCTGATGAAATGTTTACCCTTTTCTTTTTTACTCTATTCTGTTTTTTTAATTTTGTCTATATGAAATTGGTTTGGAACATTACAGATAAATTGTAACTTCTAATCAGCACGCTTAGCTGTGCAACACATATCTATCCTGAGAGTTGATTGTTGTGATCTAACCAGAAACAACTACAGCTAGATATTTCTCATTGTTGTTTGTTTAATGCTGTCATGGCAAGTAGGTCCTTTTGTTCCATGTATGTATTTTTTTCCTGAATTTCTCTAAGTCAGTAGCATTTGCTGTTCTGGTACATTAGGAACCAATGATTCCTTTTAGTTTAATTATATGTTATTTGTAAGGACTTGACATTCTGTCCTGATTTCAGTGTGGTTTTTTCACTAATAGCTTTGTAGTCTCATATTTTCATGTAATTTCTGAAAATACTGTAGCTTAATTATTTTATTAAAGTGTGTTAAACTTTTTTCAGTTCATATGTATTTAAATTAATCAATTCCATTTTTGTTCCTCTAGCATTGCTGTACAGAAACAAACAAACAAGCTTTTATTTGGCATTATATTTGTACATGTATACATCTTGCTATCTAGATGTGTGCTCACTTTAGGATGGTGACTTTAGCCATCCAGTGTTTCTGTCTATAATAATACATAGACACCAACTGTTGTAAATTCACTCTTTTATTGACTGCACAGGAGTGCTTACTCTTCCGTAACTCCTGCGTGCATACTGAAAATGGGCTGAAGTCTTCAGTAGTACAGTTTGCTTTCAAAGTATTTATAAGTTTGTTGAGCTTATTCTTTCAAACTAGTAGTGTCTACACAGGGAAGTGAATGCAGAGCCATGAGGGTGATGAAAATTCACAACCCTACATAGATAAATTCAAAATGTGAAATACTTGCTCCACTGTGTGGATTAAGTACTTTGTCATCAAAACATTTTTACTGCGTAACCTGGAATGCACTTCAGGAGCTGTGATGCAGCCAGTGCATTGCACACTGTTGCATTACTGCATGCCAGTTTGTCTACAAAAGGACTTCTCTAATTCATTTTAGTCATTTCTGTACAAAATGTTATGCTGAAATGTGGTGCACTACATTTGATCACTAACTGTCCTATGCAGGAGAATTCAAAGGGTTTATCTGGATTTTCACTCTTTGAAGTCAGTGTGTAGGAGAAGCAGCAGCTTACTTATTTCAGTAGCTTATTGGCTTGATTGCTGTATTTACATGTTAGCACTAATGATTTTTGAAAGGGCTAATAAAGGATTTTAGGATACGAGAGAAAAGATTAGATAGACAGCATGAGAGGAGTATAAACTCAAGTGTCTGTTTGATTGCAGGACTGTAAATGTAGCCATAGACTATTTCCAAAACATGCTGAAACACAGTAGTGTAAGAGTACAATACAGAATCAATCCTCTCAAAGACTTAATCACTATGATTTTAACTTTTATCAAAAAGAATAATTAGGAAAAAATGTACAACTTATGTAGCTATGTCTGTGTGTAGATAGTACTACTTTCCTCATTAACTTGCTTTCTGTTTTATCTACCTTTTTTAGATGCCAACTCAGTTTGTGGAGTCAGTTTTGGAGGTACATAGTAAATTTGTTCAACTCATCAACACTGTTTTGAATGGTGATCAACACTTTATGAGTGCTCTTGACAAGGTAACTTTTACTTAAGTAAAAAAAGCATTGGAAGACAAAATGTGGGACCGTGTTTCAGGTTGACAAAATTCTTCAGGGCATCAACATATGTTCAAAGATAGAGTTCTTGTGCAGTTTTTCTAGTTTAGAAATGCAGTGAAACAAAAGACAGTCCAGTGTTAGAGGAAAAGATATGTACAAAGGAAACCACTTTAATACTTAAATGTTTTTCCTGAAAGAAAGACCTTTCTTTTCATCATAATTCAAAACACAAAGAGGAGTTGACACATTTAATGTAAATTTAAGGGCAGATGATAAATAGAGAAATTGTGGGTTTGTGGAAGTTTGGTAACTCTGACATGCATTTGAACATGAATTTACTTGCTGCCATAATGTTTAAACTCTGATTGCTGATAGTATTACTTACATAGAAGCTTTGTTTAGATTTTTCAAGTTGACTACAGAAAATATCTGGAAAGTTACATTACTCATTACGTCAATCACTGTCACAACAGCTAACTTTTTCCAGGAGAGAACTGCACTTGAAGTTAAATAAGCCTGTTTAGGGAAAGAGACTTGCTGCTCTTTTCTTTGAAATGCATAGCCATGAAGGGATTTAAGATAACAGTTCTAATTGCTATAAATTTAATGATGATAATAATAATAACAACAACAGCAACAACAACAACTAACTTTATTATTATTATTATTGTTATTATTATTACTAAATTCTGCAAAACGTGCCTGGGCTCTTGAGGGATTAGGTGACTCCTCCTAAAAAAAAAAAAAAAGGACATTTTATCTAATCCATTTGTTAATTTCTCACTCTTTCCCATATATCCTTGTATCTTTTTACTAGAGAGTGCACTTAACTACTTTCCTATCTATAATTTCCTGTCATAGAATGCATGCATACGTTTCATTGCTCTTTTGTGGTGTTTACAGTAATTGTAGTTTGTAGTTAGGGTCATAGTCTAAGCTTTGACAATTTTCAGCCAAGGTTAATCTGGAAAGACATAGTGATGAAGATACCAGTAATAATATCAATAGTAGTTACTCATCTGTACTCGTGACATTGAGAAAATAATTATTTAGTGTTTTAAAACAAATACTTATTTCAGTACCTTAATACATTTCTGTCTCAATTGCAATTAATGTCCTGTACCAGAAGGTGGAGTAATAATGAGATTGACAACTACATCTGCTGGCACATAGACAATGTACTTTTTCCTTAAATACATCAGTTCTTCACTTCAGCATTCTTTATTACAATAAATATTTAAAATCTTAATCCCTCGTCAATTTTTCATGGTAGATATCAAAACTGCCATTGTTGCCTCTGGTATTACTTTAAAAGAGTCCTCTAAGCTTCAAAGAGTTTCATATTTCTTGTCAAGCCATGCATTCCTTTCTCACAGGGATTCTAGGGCCCTGTTATCAAATATTGGAAAGTTGAGGCATTGTATGAAAGAGTTGCTTGTTATTTCTTCCTTATAATAATAACAATAATAACGTTTTCCTTCCATAGAACTATCATTCCTAGGAACTATGGTCATGCAATATTTTTGGTTCAGTATTAGTTTAAAATGTTAATTTAAATGTGATAATGTAGTTTAGAAACTAATCTTCGTGATTCTGATATCTTTGTTTACAATTCTAAACTGCCATTATCTCCTTCCTTTTCTTTTTCATCATATTCAGGTTTTGTTCAGGTACCATATTTTTTGTACTGCATTGCTTTGAATTTCCACTTTCAACAATATTTTTTTCTTGTCTTTAGTCTATCAAAAAATCCAACAACCAAAAGATCGTTCCTTTCTTACTGTTGTGAGCACACCATGTATGTTTTTCAGCTCAAGATACATGCTGCTGATGTGCTGCTGCTCAAATCTGCTTTATCTGCAATTATTCCCCAGTTTCTTTCCATCCATACTTTTGGACCATACATATTGCTGTATACCAAAATCTTCATACTTTTAAGTTTCTAATCAGAACTTAATTTGTTCTCCTGCTTTTTGCAATTAACTTCTATTCCTCTACTCTTTCCACTTTTACTTAAATCTCAACTTAAAAATGTTCAACACGCAAATTCTCACAGAGCAGTAATTAAAGCCCTTTTATTCATTGTTTCTTTTTTGATCCCCTTTTGTGTAGTTCAGTTTCGTAGGGTCTTGGATGGTCTTTGCCCTGAACATGTTTTTGATTTCTTCAAATTTCATAAAAGTTTTAAGTTAGTTACATTTCTTTCTCTATGTTCCTGTTTAGGCTTTGACATCAGTAGTTAACTATAGGGAGCCCAAGTCGATCTGCAAAGCACCTGAGTTGGTAAGTGATGTATATTATTGTAGAAAGTAGTAATACTTTTTTATAACTGTCAAATGAATTGGCATAGGGTCCATCACATGATTATCCATTTCTCACACTGAGTTAGCCTCAGGTGTGTATTTCAGTAGTAATAAATAACTTAAGCTGCACACACATTTTGTGGGTGTTCAAAATCGGTGCAGTTGTAATTTTTCATAAAGAATTTGTATTTTCTTTGGATGTAGTATGTATTGTTTACCTATGAATAGAGCCCTTGTAACAGAACATAAGACTGCAGACTGTGACTTACTTCATGCTTTAACATTTGTGTAGAAGTTTGGAATACCTTGGCATACATTTGTTCTCAAGCTTGACAAGTAGGTTTGGATTTGTTTTTTCTTTTTTTAACTTGAGCTGGCCAAGTACTGTGACAACTTGCTGAAGAAATCAGCAAAAGGAATGACAGAGAACGAAGTAGAAGACAAACTTACAAGTTTCATTACTGTTTTCAAATACATTGATGACAAAGACGTATTCCAAAAGGTAACTTTTGATATTCAATAAATGTTAAAATGTTACATTTAAAGTATACTTGAAGAACGTGGTTATGCTTTTAAAAATCCTCATATCTGATTTTTTTTATGCAGTTCTATGCCAGAATGTTGGCAAAAAGATTAATTCATGGTTTGTCTATGTCTATGGATTCTGAAGAAGCCATGATTAATAAACTAAAGGTAATGTAATATTCTTCTAATGCAGAATAAACAGGACTATGTAATGTTGAGAGGGAGCAGCAGAGGGTGCTAGAGATAACTTGGCAATCAGATCCTGTTTCCAATAGCTGAAAGGAAAAACTAATTTCTTAGTAGTCTATGAAAGCTATATGGCCAAGTATCACCTGGGCATTTGAGATTTTTATGAACTTTTGGGTAGTTTTATTAAGTGTGTTCAAATAATTCATATTTACATTCTAAAAGTACCAAGGACTTTCATAAACTAGCTCTATCTTTCAATTTTATAAAATAACATTGTTCATACAAATCAATGTATAGAAAGTGAAACTAAGATAAGTGTGATAATTTTCTTTTATAATGTTTGTTTTCTGTTGTAACTAGTGTTCTCTGTAAAAATTATAACAACGCTTCTGCTGACTAGATTTTCATACTTCAGTAGTGAATGTGCGTAATTTATATAATAAGTACTGTTTTCACTGTGAAACCTGTTACAATATTTCTTCACAGCAAGCCTGTGGTTATGAATTTACCAGCAAGCTCCATCGAATGTATACAGACATGAGTGTTAGTGCTGATCTCAACAATAAATTCAACAACTTTATCAAAAACCAGGACACGATTATAGATTTGGGAATTAGTTTTCAGATATATGTTCTACAGGTACTAATGTATGTTTATTACTATTGAGTTATTTGTACTTAATTAATTTTTATGGTTTGATAACAAGTGAACAATTTTTCTAACTATGAATACTTCTCATATGGAAACTTATACCTTGTGATCATTATGGAATAATTTAGTTTCCTTGTGTTTCTTTTTAAAATTAACCCACTAGCACACTAAACAATAGTGATGTAAAATGCCTTGTGTTCTTGTCTTGAATTGATACCTCAGTGAGTTATGCATAATTAGCAGTAAAAAATGAGCAGTAAAACTTCTGGTGTAAATTGAATGTCTTATGGCATAGTAGACACTGTAGCTCTGTTTAATAGTGTTATTTTTTCTTAATATATATATGTTGTATGAAAATGTTCATGCTTTTATTTTTCCTGATACCTTTAGGCTGGTGCATGGCCTCTAACTCAGGCTCCTTCTTCTACATTTGCAATTCCTCAGGAACTGGAAAAAAGTGTACAGATGGTAGGTTAGTAGGAAGCTTCTTGTAAACATGTGGAAATTGTAAAACAACTCCAAATAAAAGATCATCACTCTAACAGAGAAAAACCTGAGCTGTTTAATTTTGTTTGTAAATCATGGCTATCCTGTTTCCCATCCATACGAAATTTGGAAGAGTCACCCAAATGACATACTGAATTTATGTATGTATTTGCATAGCTTTATTTTTGACGTCTCTCTTCTACACTTTGTGATTGATGAGGGAGATACTAATAAATACAATCAAATGAACTGCGTTGATTCTTAGCTTTCAAACCCATTCCTAATATTTAGATAAAAGAAGATTTTGTTTCTAATATTAAATCTGGACAGATTTATAGCAGATTAAAACACAGATACAGGTTTCTTGTCCTGTATTTCATAGTAGCCGTTCAAAATCAAGCCTCGTGCAAACTTCGTTAAAGCTAAATTTATGAATTCTCAAAGCAGTAAAGGTTTTACTTTGGCCAGATATTCTCTTTTTTATGTGATTATTTCTGCTTTGTAAAGGTGGAATGTTTTATTGCTTTTGATAGTATTATTGTGTTCTAAATGTTGCCTTGTACACTGTTTGTGTTAAAATACAGAATGTGTGTGTTGATCCTTGCTGAAGTGTACTTAATGGTGAAGTACATTTTAGGCAACAAAAATTTCATGTTATTTGATATAACAGATTTTTTTAAGCAATTTTTATACCTTAAGTAGCTATCTGATGTAAATTATAATGGCAAATGTCTGTTTCTGCAGTGAAGGAGCTTTTTCATGTACTACTGCTAAGTATTAGAACTATTTATTCTGCTTTTATTTCTGCTGTGTGAAGTGGCACCTGGTTTTAGTAATATAATAGTTCCCAACCCATGCTATGGAATCCACAGAAAGTGATTGATGACATTTTGCTGTTCTTTGTGGGCTTAAAATAGGAGTGTTGTCAGTCGTGCCTTAGTCGGAAAACTGTTACAGACTTGCATTTCAGAAGCACCTCAGAGCTGGGTTGCTTGCCTAACTTCACTTTTTTGCCAGTTTAAAGGAGCAAATGTTTTCATGTGTCACCTAGTTAGACCTAATGCTGTAAATTATACTCATAATTCCCTGAGGAAACAGAACATGACCTTGGGGAGTCTTTGAAAAATTGACAATGTCTGCCTTTACTGTTAAATTTGATCATTTGACCCATGAAGAGAGAGTTCTCTCAGGATTCTGGCTGGGATTCAGAAAGAAAAAAACATTTTGCAGTTGCACTCCAAACTGTGGGAATATCTCTGTAACTGGGCAAATTGTTTAGCAGCTTTTTCAGGCTCCAAGACTGCTGGAGATTCCTATAAATACATATTTATTTGCATGGTGTACAAATACTGGTTTTCATACGACGTAAGCTTATGGGTAGAGAAACACCTGATTCGTAGAGGTCAAAAGTCCCCCTTTTTATATTTTCCTTCGGTGTTAATCAGAGTTGCCAGACCAAATCAGAGTGAACCAAATTGATGTGTACACAGTGTTGGCTATGTGGGGTTTAGGGAGGTTTGATCCCATTTTAAGGAAAAATTCTTTAAATCTGCTTAAGTTTTTCTCATTACCAGAAAGCAGTTAGACCTTAAATTAGGATTAGTCTCCAAGCCACAATTTCTTGTTTCTTTCAGATGGGAAGTATGAGAGCAAAACTTCTGAATTTTTTTCTTTAAAAACAAAAAAAAAGCTTAAATACTAAAACTAAGGTTTAGCAGGCACTTGCCAATATATGCAGTCTGATTTGTTCTTCTTGGCTATAGGGCTAATACATAGGATAAAGGTCAGAGTTCTATTTTAATTTTTCTGCTGGATTTTCAGTGAAATTTCAGTTATTTTCAGAGGACATACAAGAGAATGCCATAGCTACTAAAAATGCCCATTTTTATGGTTCTCCTTACAAGCAAAATGATCAGACTCTTACATTACATATGTTAAAATAAAATCTTGATTTTTACAAGCCTTACCATAAAATTCCACTTAGTCTTTGGAGAAATTATTCTTTTCCTTCTTGTCAGAGTATCTTTTCTGTATTGGTTTAGCCCACAGAATAAATAAGGTGGAAGCCATGTCCTCAAAAGGTTTTTTAGATTCTAGAATATTTTTAATTGTTTTTCAACATCCAGTGCTTCCTTTTGTTTCCTAGGGCTTTTTCTCATTCTCTCTCCATTGCTTCCTAGTTTCCAGGAATGGCAGGATTGATGGATTATATATAATATGAGAATAAGATGATTTTGCTGCTTTTCTATAAATTTCATTTTTCTTATCACAGTCCACGGCTCATTTATGCCCTTCCTTTTCTTATTCTCCTTTGGTGAAAATGGCATTTAAATGTACATAAATATAGCTTTGAAAGAATCTTCTAGGAATTGCATTCCTAGAGTCTCGTGGAAAGTAGTCTCATTTACAGTAGCCAGACTTGTGCACTTTAGTGCCAGATTTCAAACTGCATAGCTAATTTTCACTTGCACAAAACCAAAAACTTTGTTTCTTAAAGAAGAGAGGAATTTTTAAGTTGTTTTTAAGGCCTTTTCTTGTTTAGAGGTAATTTTTTTTTCATATTCCTGTTCTGCTATATATTTGTGTGTCTGTATAATTTAAATATCAGGAGAAAAAACTTTCCAGAATGATTGATGTAGCACTTCTCATAGTGACAAGAAATTCATCTAAAAATCAAAAAAAGAAGGACGAAATTAGCTTTACCACTAGTGTTAGTTTTGCATATAAGGTTTTTAAAATACTGATTTTGAGGGGATGCTTCACTTTTTGGGTGTCAGCACAACTTTGAAATGTTACTTAATCATAATTGTGTGCTTCTTTGTGAACATAGGTTTTGGAAGGTTTCAACAGAAATGTGAGGATCTGTAGCCACGTATTGATTCTGAGATGTTTGCATACTATGTAGTTGTGTCTAGCCTGAAACTCAAATTGGAAGGTGGCAAAAACTGTGCCCACTTTCAAGCTTTGTCTTTTGGAATTCCCCCTAAAAAATGTTCAGGAATGTATGATGAGATTTGTCATGAAAGTCAATGTGTAGCTGACTGAGGGCAATACTTGTTAACTAAAAGTTTATGTTTTTCTGAAGGATGTTATTTAAAAAAAAAAAAATCAATAAAATGGATTTTCTGAATTGATTTTAAATAGGAAATCAAAGCCTTAGAACATAGAATGATTTCACCAAGGTGAAAAACTAAAAATAGACATGTTTTTATATGGAATTGTAAGGAACAGAATAATAAAACCTAACAAGATTGATTGCTAAAACCTCCTAGAAATTCTTTTAAATTCAGTAGAGTTGATACTTTGGCACACTGTTTAACTACAGTATTTTACGCTTTGAGAGTATGAATGTGTCACCAGTCTTTTTGATTTAGTCATCAAGTATGTTAATATGTTCAAGTGGTTCAGTAAATAGCTGATGTTCAGTCATCACCTATCTTCTAAAGGAAAATGCTGTCATGAATTGATCTGCAATGTTTGCATCCAAAATGGTGAACGTAAAACCAGTATTTCTACACTGGGGTGGTAGTGTGATAATAAACTATTTTAAGTAGTGTGACTAACTGAAGTTAATTTTGTTTTGCAGTTTGAATTATTTTACAGTCAGCATTTTAGTGGAAGGAAGCTTACTTGGTTACATTATCTTTGTACAGGTAAAAATAACTGCTTTGCTAAACTTATGCTCTATACAACTGACAGTTATTTGTTAAAAGTCCTTTTCAAATGGTAACAGACTTTATATGCAAAATAATGTTCTGACTCTAAAGTCAGCTGACTTATTCTGCATTATAAATTAACTTAATATTTGCTGCTTAGTATTTCCAAAATTTAAGTTTTGTAAACTTGCACATGTTTTCTGTGATTTATTAAATCCAAGTAAAACTAGGGTTGTACATTCTTAACTACAAAATGGCACTGTAGAACTGCTGAGTTAATAACAATTGCCCTGGAATTGTGTTGTGGTTTAACCCCAGCCAGCAACTGAGCACCACGCAGCTGCTCACTCACTTCCCCCCCACGCAGTGGGATGGGGAGAAAATCGGGGGTGGGGGGTGGGAAATAAAACTCGTGGGTTGAGATAAGAACAGTTTAGTAGGACAGAAAAGAGGAAAATAATAATGATAATAATAATAATAAAATGGCAATAATGACAATAATAAAAGAATTGGAATATGCAGAACAAGTGATGCACAATACAAGATGCACAGTTAGTTCCTGAGCAGTGATCACCCCCAGGCCAACTCCCCCCAGTTTATATACTGGGCATGACGTCACACGGTAGGGAATATTCCTTTGGCCAGTTTGGGTCAGCTGTCCTGGCTGTGTCCCCTCCCAACTTCTTGTGCCCCTCCAGCCTTCTTGCTGGCTGGGCATTAGAAGCTGAAAAATCCTTGTCTTAGCCTAAACACTACTTAGCAACAACTAAAAACATCAGTGTGTTATCACCATTCTTCTCATACTAAATCCGAAACATAGCACTATACCAGCTACTGGAAAGAAAATTAACTCTGTCCCAGCCAAAACCAGGACAAATTGTTTCTGTAGTATCAGATGTCTCTTAGCTGAATATTAAATAATTTTAAAAATACATATTATACTATTTTACTCAAATATGTATCTAAGTAAATACATATATATTTTTACTTATGGTTATATTTACTATATAGAAATATATGTTAAAAAACATCTTAGAAGATATATATACAATTGTAGCTTAGTTTAGTAATATCAGTCAATCGTATTTTATTTCAAGTGCTTTCAATATCAGGCTTTAATGGCTGAGCACCACAACATACTGCATGGAGCTGAAAACCAGGCTAGCATACAACAATATAATGTAATGAAAGTTTAGTTCTGATAAAAGAAGGTTGCTGTTAACACACACTCACCTTCACACAGAAAATCTAAATCTGTTTTCAGGCAGATTTCTTCAGTGCTTTTTTTCCTCTCTTTTTTTTTTTTAAATATTTTTAAATTTCAGGGGAATTTAAAGACTATAAGAATATTGTGAAAAATTTTTAATGACAGATCTTTTATTTTGTTTTTAAATCTTTACTTGGAACAACTTTCCTGTAATCACTATTCTGTGATTCTGTGTAAGCTATTACTAATTGAAGTTTATGCATTGTAATGTGTTGAGGCTATTTGGAATTTCCTTTTTTTATTACTATAAATTATATTGTATTATTCAAATTCAACACTGTAGGTTTCCTTTTTTAATGAAAACACTATTGTTCTAGTATCTGTAGTTACTCAGGATTTTTTCTTGCAGACCACATTCTATATTTGTAAATTCACAACATCAGTTTTCATCTTCCCATTTCAAGTGTTAAATGCATACTTAGGTATGAACTGAATGTCTGGAAATGTATGAGGAGCTCTAGTAGTTAGGCTTCAGAAGACTTTTCAGCACATTCCATCAGTTTATAAAATACTACTTGTATCATTACAGGTGAAGTAAAAATGAATTATTTGTGCAAACCTTATGTAGCCATGGTCACAACATACCAAATGGCAGTGTTGCTTGCCTTCAACAACAGTGAAACTGTCAGTTACAAGGAGCTTCAGGATAGTACGCAAATGAATGAGAAGGAACTGACAAAAACCATCAAATCCTTACTTGATGTCAAAATGATCAACCATGACTCAGACAAGGTATGCAGTAATGATATAAAAAGTTTCATGTTTTCAGTCTTGTGACTCTAATATTTGTTGAGGTTTTTTTTTAATATTAAAGAATCCACAGTTTTCTTTTTTTTTCCTAAACTATATTACTGACGCTTGTGAACAATTATAAGTTTGTATTTGTAAGGAAAGAGACAAGAGGAAGTAGACTATCTGTGTCATATAGGGTTTCTACACCTATAACAGCATGGAATGCTGAAAAGGTAATAATGCTAGGACTGATTATTGTTTGTTGCATTTAATTCATACGGCTTTCGACTCATTGCTGTTGGAGGGGCTGTCACGACCCAGACTGGACAGAACAGGGAGTCGTGTTTAATTTGAAATTCCCTTGGGCTAAATTAAGGTGAAATGACACCAAACAATCAGTTAAAGATTTTATTCATGACAGAAGCAAACCGAACTGGGGAGGCTGGTAGTAGGTGGCAGGGTTTCTCACAACACTAATTGGCATGAGACTACTTCTGTAAACCATGTAACCATATACATCAATTCAGGGAATAAGGAGATCCCTCCCGTTGGGTCAGGAGGTTCAGAGCAGACCCCCTTGCTTTCTAGACTCCTCCTCAGAGAAGGGCCCAGGGGCGGCTGGATCCACTCTTAGTCTCAGACTTGGTCAATGGTTTATATCTTGAAACAGATGAGGTGTGGGGATTGTGGATAAGGAAAGAGAGAAGAAGACAGAGAGAGAAAAAGGAAGAGAGAAAGATTTCACCGGTCCTGGGTCCAGCGTTGGCCCAGTCAGCCAAGGGGTCCAGTCCCCATGGGCTCGTGCACCCGGGGCTTCAGTTGGTGTCCTTTTATCATCCTTGCCCCTTCCTTCGGGCGGGCACCCGAACGCGTCAGGTTAATGAGCCTTTGGGCTTGGGGGTCGTTTGTGGAGTAACTTCTCCTTCCCTGCAGACATGGCCATTGTTTGATCTTTGTACCAGAACAGCTTATCAGAACAGGGAGCTGGACCCTCCAGCACGCCCTCCCCCTCCTGTTGCTGATGTCTGAGCTGATGGGCTTTTCACCTTGGTTCCTGGCTGTGCGGGGTTTCTCTTTAAGCAGAACTTGCCCCATCACAACGGTTGAGACGTTCATTCTTTCAGTCTCTCACAGGGAATACTCTTTAAACACACCACTTTCCAAGTTGCACTGAATCATGGGAAGGAGACCGAGTAGTAAACCAAAGAGTCTTACAGAGATCCTAAAAAAAATATTTGTGGGATTGAGACTGAAAGTAACAACAACTATGTTCTTCCTTGCTGATAGCTTGCAGGAGAAGGAAGGAGGAGGAAAGACAGCAAGGAGAGCTTGTGTGAGAGGATTTTTGCTGCAGTTGGCCAAACTATCATTCCATGAGTTTCATGAATTCCAGTAATGTCTGAGCTTTGTTTGTGGTTAAGGCAATGGTTGATACAGGTTCTGTTTCTGACTTCTGTACAACTTACGTGAAACCAGTTACCATTTTTCCCATACAGCGAAGGGCACAGACGTCTGTTATGCAAGAAACACTATGGAAGTGCCTGTGCATACCATACAAACTTTAGCATATGCTTCCAGCTAGTCCAGAAAGCCTGTTACTCAGACAGTATCAGGCAGAAGAAGCTAAGATAAGCTGTTCACTTCCCTTACGAGGAGAAATCCAAAGCTGCTCTGATAGCTGCTTTTTTTTTTAAATCAGGAAAATATTAGAAACTGGAAAGTGACATCACAAGAAAGATCTGATGCTTGGCTGAAGCATAGGACATATTTCCAATATCTAGAAATGAGCTCAGATTGGAACAGTGGCTGGGAAGATGTCTGTTAAACCATGGGTGAAATGTAACACTGGGAGCTATTATAGAAAACAATGAGATTTTTCATAATCTTAGAAAGTTGCCCATTATTTAAAGGATTTACATTTATTTATAACTGTTCTGTAAGGTTTGCCCAGTTTCTTTAAGCATATGTCATTGAAGAGTGAATGATACAGCTTTCCAACCCTTTTATGTTTTAATGTTTACCACTATGTTTTCTGGTTCTTTAACTTCTAGGCTGTTGTATTCAAACGTCTCTGCTAATTCTGTTTTCTTTGCACTCCATCCAGCAATGTGAAAGCAGACCTGTAGACAGTCTATCAGCTTACTTATTGAATAAGCCAGTGGAGTTTAGTGGCTTAAGCAGTGAAATTAAATACACTAACTTCTCTTTACCAGTATATGAGCCAGAAAGAAAAGTACAGTGTATTAAATGCTGTAGTTTGCTTTTGTTTGTTCTTTTTCTGAAAGAGGAAAAAGAAAACAAGAAACTTTTGGCAAAATTTATTGGTTCATTAGAATAACGCTTTTTGAGTTCATGCACAACACACAATTTATTTTGGTTTATACTCAACCATGTAAGCAGAATAATGTTAAAAGTTAATGTTAGCTTATATTTTTTAAAGCTATTGATCTTTCCCCTTTCATGTCAAATTTTCTATCCTATGCCTGGATATTATAAAATGTTATAATAAAGAATATTTGTTGCAGAATATAAAATTAGAATTAATATTATTTTGAGTATATGCTTAGATAAATATTGACTGTGTTTACTAAAGTATTTGCGCTTGAGGCAACCATCGTGTGGCAAGACTCCAAAGTCTAAGGAAGCCCAGTAACTTTCTTCTGCTGGAAATTGGTAGTACTTGCACAGACTCTTGCCTGGAAACTGCAGAGATTGGTTGGGTCATCCTGTTGAACATAAAGGTGTTTGGCCTGCATAGAATAGTTACCATTTATTGAAGGAAATGGACTTTTACATGTGGAAAAGAATTGAGATTCTGACAGGAAAAAATTAGAAAAGTATAGATAGATGTGGAACTGTAGAAGTTGCAGTTTGTCAACTGTTTCTGCTATAACATAACAAAATGCTTACATGTTCTTCCTTAAGTTCTGGAAGGCAGCACTAGTAGTAGTTGTGAAAGCAACAGCTCTTTCTTTTGAGGTTCTGCTATAAATAAATGCAAATCCTACTTTCTTTGCAGGGAGAAAATGAGTTTAAATGGAGAGTGTTTGCAACTAATTGCTTTAATCATATTGACTTGTTAACAAAATTCATGTATGTCAAAGTTCTTTATACTGTTTTGTAAAATAGACTTGATTTCTAGGTTAGTTAAACTGTAGCATAAAAAATATTGAGCTGGTTCAAGTGGCATTTTAGAATTTCTAACTACAAATCTGAAATTGTTTGTATGTATGCAAACCCCTAACTGTGATTTTTCAAAGTAAATTGTTACCATTTTCTGGTTCCATTTCTGTTTTTTTTAAAAAGAGTCTTTATTGCAGGAAGATATAGAGGCAGAGTCTACATTTTCTTTAAATATGAACTTCAGCAGTAAACGAACAAAATTTAAAATTACTACATCAATGCAGAAGGACACGCCACAGGCAAGTATTCTTTGGTGTTCCTAGCTTGAACAGCTTAGGAAGCTTATTTTTCTAGAAACAAATTTATTGTACTAGTTTGGTGTAAGCAGATGTAAGAGTCCCTGTGTAAGATTTACATCACCATAAAGAAATTGTTTAATTAATAAGCTTAATGCTTAAGCACTGCAAATTTTTTGTACTTAAAATATAGGCAAGAGAAGATGGAATAGGGAATAAGAAAGTAGAAGAAAAAGATAAACAAGAGCTATTCCTTTTGTACCAAATGGGATTGACATTTAGCTTTTCTTATCTAATGAGACTTTTTTATTGGTGGTGTTTATAAAAGCAACTTATTCCAGGAACAGCAGAACCAATCAACTCTGTTTTCCTATGGTTTTGTGTCCTTTGGCAACTAAAATTAACTCCAGTGTTGATAATCCATGTTTCCTCTGTATCTCCTAAGACATAGAATTTTGTACAAGAGACATATGTGCTGCTAAACTCAATACATTGTAGTAAATTCTGCCTGCCTTTCTCCCTAGCAAAAACATTGGTTTGGATGTCTCTCCTACCTTCCTGCTGACTTTCATGAAACCTGATATTCTTGATTTATGGAAGTACTTTGCCTGGAATTGAACTTCACCTAGATTTTTGTATTAATTGACCACTTTTAATAAAGGAAAAAGTATAGATTGAAGATACTTCTATGAAGTGTTTATTGATCTTACTATATTTTAAGCATTACTGTTCTTCCTATATTGCAGGAGATGGAGCAGACCAGAAGTGCTGTAGATGAAGACAGAAAAATGTATCTTCAAGCTGCTATAGTCCGTATCATGAAAGCACGTAAAGTGTTGCGACATAATGCTCTTATTCAGGAGGTAAGATAAAATCCTCTTCTTCAGCATGATTTGATGAAAGTCTTCAAGATAGTTGGCTAAAACATCTGACCACAAAACTCTCCTGCGTCAAAACTATTACCTCAGTGAAATTAGTGAGAATTTCATTGGAGTCTACTTTGAACTGCAGTACTGGAGCACTGGCTTGATCACTCAATCTTGTAAATGTTTCTTAGCACTAAAGCATTAAGTGCCGTTGTGCTTGCTCTTCCCTGTTGGCTGGTTCTATGCCAATGGATGTTGTATACTATAAGAATCATTGCTAGAGCTATTAGGTTCATTTCAAAACGTGAGTATGAATATTCTAGGTATGGAATTTTCACAGAAGCACCTAGCCAATAGTGAGCTCTAATCATGATTTTATTCTAATTCATGGCTTAAATTTTTAAAGTTGTCTTGAGTATATAGACATGCACTTCTTAATTTCCCTTTTCCATTAAGCAGTACAGTTGTCTAGATTTTTTAGATTCTAGATTAATGATCTGTGAACTGTCACAGACTGGCTGGGAAGGAAGTGCTATTTCTTTCGTTTTTCTCACACTTTCCCATCTGTTCTAGTTGCCTGCCTAATTCTGTTTCTTATTCCAACCTAACCTTTGCTCCTACCAACCAGTTCCCAGTTTTAGTTTTCTCAGCCTTCCAAGGCGTTCATTCTTCAGTCTTAATTCATTCTTGTGTCTCCTGAGCCTTGCTGGGTAGCTTCAGAGCAGACTGGTAGGAGAGGGAATAAAGATTCCTGCTGTATTTGACAATTTTGAGCATGGAGGTGGAGAGGCATTTAGTCATTTTAAGATCTGCTGTGTGCTTTCTGTCTTGTGGTGGTGGAGGAAACAGTTTACCACAACCACCACTTAATTTTTATTTCCTAAAAAAAATAAGCAGCTACAGAGAGCTTGTGAGCCCAGAACTTGCAATGTGAGGCATCTTAAAGGTTTTGGCTATTGAAATAGTGCTTGTACACAAACACTCTGAAAGCAAGCTTAATTTAAGGAATCTGATTTTTAATATCTAAAAGATGAGGCAGCGTAGGTCCTGATTATTCTCAAAATCTTTGGTTATTTGGTTTCCTGTTACTTAAACTATCCATGCAATTATAATGAAATCCTGTAAGAATTTACAGTTAAAACTAGAAAATGGTAGGCAAGCCCTGTTTCATCTTTGAAAATACTTTTTTTCTCAAATTCTCTCAAAATTCTCTCAAATTCTTAGAAAAAGTTTTCAAAGTGTACTTTGCTTGAGATCAGTTTGTAAGGCTGGAATAGATTACAAATTTTTATGTTTCGGAAACAAAAAATCGTTTCTGGTTGCTTCTTTCTTTGTTTAACTCGGGGCACTATCTGACATGTCTTTGCTGCATTTTGCTCTTGCAGTGCTCTTGCAGAATAGTATGGTCTACTTAGCATCAGGAGGTTTTTCATGCTTTGTAAGAAAGACGGATATTTTGATTGTTACTCAGTTAAAAGCTAAGTAGAGAGTAAAATTGGTGCTCCACTTATCTATCGCCAGCCACATCCACCTGTACTGGTTTTTTACCTTAGCTTTTAACTAAATTGATGACACTTTTGGAAATCATATCCTTTATCATTTAGTCTGTAGTTCTCAATTTTGAATACTACTTACATCCTAGATGGATTACAGCATTTAAAAATGAAGGCTAGGCTTCTAACTGATTGATATCTATGCTGCAGTATAGTGTGGGGACCTGATGTAGCCTTAAAATTGTGAAACCTCAAGCGATAACGTGAAGCAGTGCCAAAATCCACTAGGATTAATTTTTCCTTCTTTTTTTGCACTCTGAATTAATCTGTGCCAATCTCAATGCTACCTCAGCCAAACTGTTACTGGGACCTGAGCTTGATTCTTTAAATTGTTAGGTGTCTTCTCTACAGTCTATGATAAAGATGTACTCTTAGGCACTTCAGAATTATTGCCAGGTTTTAGAGCAAATTGCGGGGTGACACATTTTTTTGTATAGTTACTGCTTAAACACACAGATTCAAATCTCATGTTAAGTGGAAATTTTACCTAATTATGTCTGCACTGAGCTCAGTAACTCTGCATTGAGCTCAGTTTTGCTTCATGTTGAATGAATAAGGCCAAACTGCCAGGTGGTTCTGAGCTGAACATGCTCAGCTTTCTCACTAGACTGACTGTTACTAAAAAATGAATAGCCATCACTTCTGCTAAACTTTTAGACTATGCGTAACTACTTGGCTGTACAACTTCCTTTTTTTTCCCCTGTTAACCTTGTAGTAAGATTTGATTTACTGTCAAGAGCCTTTTTATTTCTTGATATTGTTACTAATTATGTTACTAATTATGGTGACATTGTAACTTTTATCATGATGTTTATATGCTTATATATGATGTATTCACTTAAAATTTCTAGTCTGACTTCTTAGGGGGTAAGAATATTTCAAAAAAGAAGTCTGTTTACTATGAATGGTTAATATTTTCTCACCTCATTAATATTTTTTCTGAGATATAAGGGCAGGGTTATACTGTTGTTGGAGATATGATTGAAAGACTCCTAGCCTTAATGTAGTTAGCTCTAACAGTTAGACTACAGCACCACACATTCATTTAGGGTGAGGTGTCCAAGAAAATACTCAAGGCCCTTGGTAGACCTTTATATGTCAGCATGTGGTCTTTGCTGAATTGTTAATTGTGTTAGATACACCCTGATAGTTTTACTTCTAGCTCCATGCTGCAGTCGCTTGCAGGACAAGGTAGCTTTTCCCTTAAAGTGAATAAGGTTGGTGGGAGTAGTGAAGGGGAAAGGTTTAATGCAGTCATTCCCATAAAATTTTTTATTCTGACTACCGGGTATTTCTATCCATCCTTCTTATTTGTATTATCTTTGATAAAACAAAAAAACCCAAAACCCAAAAAACCTCTTACCAATACAAAATTCTATCTTTTGTTCTTTCTGTCCTAAGTAAATACATGAAGTATGATGATACAATCAGTTTGAGTGTAGGGCTGAAGTTAAGTGAAATCTAAGCAGATCTATTAGCTTGTTAGCACCAAGTTTCTTCTCATTTGTACTGCTGTGGAATGTACCAGACCCTTGGCTGCTAGCCCAACAAAACTCGCTCTTTTGAGCTTTTTGTTTGCTTTGCTGGGTGAGTTCTACCTGGTGAGTTCTGTTGGCTCACAGAGGGCTCCAGCAAGCTCTAGAGCTGGGACAAAGCCAGCCGTGAAAAGTTGTAAAGAAAACAGGAAATCCAGCTGAAGTAAAAATCACTTTATGTACAGAACAAATGAGAAACTACAGGCAAAATATGTTGTGACACTTGAGTAGTAAGATCTTTTGTTTGAAAAATTTTCCAAGTTACTAGATATGCATATTCTGTTACTACACACCATTTCCTCCTCTTCTCTACAAGAGAATGGGCAAAACTAAGAACTATTAAGAGACATCTAAGTTTTGCCTGCAGTGGCAGTTTATTCCAGAATGCATATATAGATTTGTTTTTACAATAAATAATTTTTTACTGTGTGTGTTACAAAGTTCCAGCATAGCCAGATGGAATTCACCAAATTGTAGGTCTGTCTTCAGTGACTGAAGAAAGAGAGGTTCATCCTGATTGTCTCAAATTGTGTAGGAAGGGACGTCAGTGGTAGGGGGACTCCATTTACACCTTCCGGGCAGCAGAGCAGTTCAAGGAGCAGATATACAGCATTACATGGGCTGATTTTAGACAAAACAACAAATTCAGCTCACATCTCATATCCTGGTGGCTGCAACAGCAATGAAGTAGTGTAACTTTACAATATTATTACTACTTGGGCTGTGTCTTTTGTGATGAAAAGTGTCATCTAGGGCTTTTCAGCAAATTTCCTGAAAAAGAAGTGTTATTTTTTTCTTGCAAGTTTGATTGCCTAGTGCAGTAGAATCTCTGAGCATAGGTTGCATTTTTAATGTATGTAAACTGTGCTATTCAAGAATGAATAAGGTCTTATTATAACATCATAGTCAGATTTTTTGGTAATTTGCTATGTACCTGCTTACATGTCTTCTAAACATGTCTTTTTAATGCTAGAAAGAAAACACAGGTTTCACAAATCTTTATTAAATGAAAATGTCTTCTCTGGCTTTTTATGATAACAAAAGTGGTGATGGATGTGAAGAAAATTGTGTTCAACTTTAGAGGTAGTTTTGAAAAATACAATCAAGTGAAATTTAACCATTCAGAATTGTATAAACTTAGGAAGACTAAGATTAACACATTCTTCAGACGTTTCATTTCCAAGTAAGACTGCTGTAACTCAAACAAAATTTGCGAATCCATAAATTAAATATTCTGGAACAATGAAAGCACATAAACAGAAGTAAAGGAGACCTAGTTTAGGAAGAGAAGTCAGTTAGCAAAGCCAGCATGGAAAGGCAGATATGGTCTTACAAAATTTTCACTTTGCTTAAACTGTGATAACAGTGAACAAATGTGTTAATATTAGATTAATTTTTAACCTGAATATTTATCTTCATTTGTACTATGGCAAACTAAGCAAGCAGGAGGACTGAAAAGATCTGGTTAACATGCAGGCAAACTGAACCAATAAACTGAACGGTCAGTTTAAGTGTCCTGACGCTAATGTATAGAGATGCTTTGTTGATTGTTACAAATGAACTATTCCAGGTTTATTTAATCCTGTCTTCAAAAGAAAAATATACTGAATTTGCCTTAAACCCCTTAGCGAATATTTCTATAGCATTTATAACTGTCGTAAATAAAAATAACACAAAAAACCTGTCTTTCTTTTGCAGGTAATTAGCCAATCAAGAGCTAGGTTTAACCCAAGTATCAGCATGATTAAGAAGTGTATTGAAGTTCTGATAGACAAACAGTACATAGAGCGAAGCCAGGCCTCTGCAGACGAATACAGTTATGTAGCATGATGTTGCTATCCTGCAGGTATGATTGTAAGGAGATCATTGCTGTCACTGTTTGGTGTGTTCCTGTGGGAAGAGGCAGGCCTGTGCCTCCATAATTGGTCACTTGGCAGCCCCTGTTTTTCTGCTGTTTACAACATCACCAGTGCCATGTCATGAGCGTCAATGAAAATGCCTATAGATATTTCAAGCTCATGTCATTATGACATTTCTTAAAACTTTACTAAAAGAATGAGTGAAGTATTGCTGAAATGTGGAAAATTGGTTGGGTACCATGCTTTTTTTTTTTTTTTCCCCCCTTCCCTTTCACTTTTGCAGTTGATGTTTTTTTATGTATTTTAAAACAATGTAAAAAAAAAAAAAAAAAAAAACAAAAAAAACCAAACCACAAACCACCCCCAAAAACTAAATATTGTAATATGACAGATAACCTAATAATTGTATCTACATTAAAATGTAAAAAAAAAAAATGACGGACATGATACTGCTGCTTGTCAAATAAAAAAATAAAGTTATATAATGTGTCTTGAATGATTGTAGAAATGGATATAGCATTAGTGTCTGTAAATATTATTCAGACCTGGAAGAGTAAAAATAATGTTATGTGTTTGGGTTTTGGATAACCTCAGAAGGAGATCTGACGCAAGAACTAATTTATATAGAACTGAATACCAGGTATGTTATGTTTGATGTGATTATAAAAAAATATTTATGGTTAAGTGCACATCTTGTTTTCTTGAGATTAGGCTAATTTACATTCTTAGTGCCTGAAGGCCTACTCTGTGTCTGTTAATCTCACACTGTAGGAATAAGTTACAAGAAAAAATAAACAGACGTTTGAGGGGATTTAAGTAGTGTAGTTCACAAAGAGTTAGGAAGGGTTATCATGAACATCAAAGATACAGTTCAGTGGCTTGTGAAACCACCCTGTTAATGGGAAAGAATATAGCAGACTGGTAATTGAAAAATGTTGTTTCATTAATGCATTGGGTAGAAACACTACGTGGATAGGTACCTATGTTTGTTTCCACATAAGCCCATACTGGTTTTTTCTTGTTTTCCTTCCTGACTCACATGGCTGTATTTATCATATTTTGTTTTCCTCTGCCCCAATTAGATTTCTAGCTATTTGGGCAGGACAAGAAATCTGTGGGCTGTTTCATGTCCTGCGTTGCTCATCAGGGGTGGCATGGTGACTGTTCACTCTCACCTAAGCAAAGTATAATTTTGAAAGGTACTAACTCTACCAGTGGAAGTAATTGGAGTTTAAGAGCGTTAAGAGTGTGAACGCACTGAATGCCTGCTGCAGAAAAGAGCTTCCTCATGTCTACGCCTGCAATTATCATTGACAGGATAAATACTAGGTTAACTTTAAATGTTCTATTTTTGCCAAATTTTATTTGTGTGCATATAAAAATGTATATAGATATATATTATTTGCATTATTTTTTTAGATTGTGTGATACTTCATCAGCTACTAAAAGTCCATAGATCAAGAGTTAATTTTAAAGGAAAAAACCCTTTGGAGGGGGAGCTTTTTCCTTCTTTTTTCTTTTTCTAGTTCTTCACTGTATGAAAGGTTTCTCTGCAACTCTCAGATTATTGCTGTCTCTTATTTCTTAAGTGGCATCGCATTCATATGTTATCTGGAGGGTATAGTAAACTTTCTATAGTTAACTAGGAAATGTATCAAGAAGTGGTAATATGTTTTCCTTATGTGAATTTTGCTGAGGGCAACTAAAGGGCAATAAACAATGAAGGGCACTAAACATTTCTTCCATATTCATGGTATTTTATCCCACTACACTAAGATATAGATTTTTAAAATGGATTTGTGTCTTTAAGAAGTGTTTTTTTAACTGATTGCAGCATGGTGCAGTAGGTCATTGTCTAAAGTGGTAGTTCAGAGTTGTGTATGCGTGTTGGGAGACAGCAAAGGTGCTTATAGTGTCACTAAGTGTAGTAAACAGGAGACACATTAGCATAGATTTTGACTGGAGTGACTTTTTATCTATTTCAGTGTGAATAATTTCTGTGCTTTATAAAAAGTAATTCATTACTTCATATGACAAAAAAATAGAATAGAGGCAATATTCTATGACACAATAGAAAAAATAGAAAAAAATATTGCCTGAACATTGAATCATTGGATCCTTTCTCCAGAAAACAAACTTAACAGTGACACCAAAGCTTCTGGAAACAAATGTGTTTTATCTTGTAACTTGTGTATGAGTCAACAGATTTTAAGCTTGTTTCTTCATAAAAGGGTTAATAAAAGCTTTATTTAAATATAGATTGCAGTAGCAGAATTTTAAGACTAAGTTTGAAAAAGCCTTAACAAATTTATTTTCAGTATCGCTTCATAGACAAAACAAAAACTTCACTACTCTAGCCCAAACGTGTAAGGTTTTAGCATTACTTTATCTCTGAATTTTTGCATACCTAAACCATCAAAAGTAACTTCTTTTTTTTTTTTTTTTTTAGATAAGCAAGGTGTTGAGTTGAAACATGTTTAGTGAGTTAAAAACATTCATCTATTTCAGCACAGTTGGCAGCCCCAGACAATGTCTTTCATAATTATACACAAACTCAGTCTTTTCAGTGCCTCTTGGGAAACATAGCTATAGCTGGGAGACATTTTGAATTATACTTTATAATTCACACCTTCCCCCTAAGGAAAAAGTAGTGCAAAGATTCAGCCCTGTGCAGCTGGGTTAGGTCACTGAAGTCATTGCTGGCACGCAGTGATGCAGCTTATAGTGTAGTGCTACAACCTGGCAACTCAATACATCTGGCAAGTGTAATTTCAAAATACAAAGTCCTAATGGGTATTAACAGGAGGGACAAATTATAAAAAGAGAAGACATCCAAAAATGCCATGCATTTTTAATTTTTCACTAGAAGAAACTGCTATAATTGTACAGATTTTTTTTAATGTGTTATAAGCCTATTGACGTGTATGACCTGCTAGTTTATTGGAAGCCATACAGCTGAGTCTGGAAACATAATGATTTCATATATTTCTAATACCAAAATGCATTTTACCTCTAGTATCGAGTGTTATTGATAATTCTTATGCTAACTGAAAATGTATTTCTATGATGTTTTAATTTGTCTTCAGATTGATTATCTTATTCTAAGGAAGAAATATGTGTGCCTGCATTTCAGTGTGTTCATACATACAGGGATGCTGGAGCTACGAAAGGTACTTAAATCATCATAACATGAGAAACAGTTTTCAAAGCAGAGAGTATCGTTACTTTTCAAGAAACCTTTAAATTAGTACCTCACTTTTCCAAATAAGAAGCAGAGTACAGAAATTGGTCAAAGGACAAATACATTTTATAAGTTGGTATCTTTCAGCTATGCTTAGGAAGCCATTTCTTATCCTTAAAAATGTTGATTTTAAAAGCAAGTCTTACAACATAGTATTGATTCTTGAGCAGAATAAATTCTTTGTACCCTAGGGCAAATATGTTAGGACTGTCCATTCTTTACAAATATGGTAAGTACCTAGAGTTAATTAATCTAAGGTATTAAAATCTATGAAAACACATTCTCCAGAAGCAATTGTTCTTGCACTGAGTATTTTCTCTTATTACAAATCTGAAGTTACCCTTGCTTGCTTACGGTAAGTTGTACTGCACTTCCTAGCTAATAACAAAACCGAGTTTTTGCAAGTTGTTGGCAGAAGAAGAGGAAGGATCAAAACTTTGTTTGGGTATAATAATTTTAAAACAATGCAAGGTTTTGCTAAACACAAGTATATGTGTGTTGTTTTAAAGAGGGATGGTGAACAAATGTGTCTGGTAAAAGTAACCAGACATGTAGCTTGCATGTGGATTTCTTACTGTGTCCATTCTGTGGAATTCACAATTGCATCAATAAGTGAAGAAAATAACCGCCAGCAAAAGGAAGGAGGTAGAGGAGGATGCTGGCCAGTTGGCCTCCCTTTTAGAAGTACTGGAGTTGTATTTTTGTGTTCTTTATCTTGGAATAGTTTAAATATGCATATGTTAATTAACAAGATTACTATTTAGTTCAGTATTGGTGATTACTTGTCATGTGTTTGAGGAAGAAGGGTGCTAGAGTATTCAAAGCAGCAATGCATTTGACATAGCCGTGTGTTGGTGCTGCCCCCATCAACAGTCCCAGGAGCACACAGCACAAGACTTGAAAGCTCCCTTCGTCTCCCCAGTAAGTCCAGTCTTGCATATGCATCTGAGAAGTAAAGGTCTATTCTAAGCCTCAGAAGCAGTACAAAGCAAGTCAGAAGGTGTTGTTAGTCACTTCTAAAACAGTTCTAGGAGTTTAGGGAATTACTTCCACCGTTCATTTCTACATCTTCTTTATGACCCTTGTAACTGAAAGTTATCAATGGTGATTTAAGCAAAGCTGAAATGCTCACTTGTTTGGTTGCTTTGACTGGAGTAATGAACAGCTTGCATTAACACTGTGATAAGTTCCTGCTGCTCAGCTGAGGAAGGTAATGGGTGTGTGCATTACTAGTCTATTACAGTATGAAGTAAAAACTTTACACTTGAACCACAGGTGAACTTGCTGTATATGAACCCTTTCTAGAGCTTCTGGACTACCCAGAAATCTCTGGTATTTTATACTGAGGAGAGCCGTACTAACTTTGTGTGTTCTTCCACTTCTTCCACTCTTCCACCGAGATAAATAAAATCATACACTACTGTTTCTCTAAATATTGCTCTCCTGATCTTCTCTGATGTAGTGTTATATACCAGGAACAGAAAATCATGTATTTTGGGACTACAGAAAGTAAAGTAGGATGGATGAAACACTTCCTAATGTCTGTATCGCCAAGGCATCAGTTCTTTCAGTCTGACTCTTATCCACCCAAACGTTTGATATATTAGTGTTTACAGGAGCAGTGGATACATAAAGATATCGTTGGGCATGTTTTCATCTGAAAGAGGCCTTGTTCATAGCATAATCATTGAATGGTAAATGCTGTAATTATCACCTTTTGGTGGAAGCTGGTGGTTCTGATGCGTGTCAAACTATCTTTTTCCAGCAGCTTTGAACAGTAGCAGTGTAGTTGCCAACAGTTATTAAAGAGGAGTGGTTTGAGGATGGTTTTGAAACTTGGCAGGTCACTGTTGCCTGTCTTTTGGTGCTGGTTATATCATCTATAACAGACTAGGTATATATGATAAAAAGTGTAACACTTCTTGGGTAGTTTTTCACATTATGTTGAGCAGTTGCAGTTCAGTTTCATAAGATGTACTTGGGCTGTTTTCTTAAAAACTCAATGCATGCATCCATTTTCCTTTTTCTTTCCAGCCACCAGCTTAATAGAATTCATGGTCGTCAAAACTTGAGT